TCACTCTGATTTCTATCTGAATTATCACCACCGTTATTTTTCTGGTTTTGATCTTGACCATCAACTGTATCATCGATTGTATCCAGTGGTACATCTTCAGTACTCTTTTCTGAGTTATCGCTTTCTTCGTCCCGGTTTTACAAACTTGCATCACTATCTTCGCCGCTGAGATTTGAGAGTACGCTTATATCGTCTTCTATTTCCATCTGGTCAATGGCTGCACCTACCTCCAATGCTGCATTATTGGCCTGTTGTTCAAGGTCCTCGGCCCTTATTATTTGATTTCTTGACATATCCTAAAAGATAAAAATGCTGTATAAACTAGGTCCAACACAAGAGAAACTCGAAGTATTGTAGACAAATCGTCGGTTGAGAAGATCAGGAAATTTCAGGTGTGGGTGCATAAATTATTATTTAGGGGGTACTTTAAATCATTTAAAAATATATTTTTTTGAATATGTATTATTTATTATTTCGTTATATAGGTACTTTACAAAATGTTTTTTGAGTTACTTGCAATTGTTACGTAAATGGTAGAGTTATGTTTGAGTAAATTAACAAGGTAACTAATAAATAGAGGGCGGAATATATGCATCAAAATATAACAAAATATGCGCATATATATGCATCGTTTTTACCAAAAATCTGATGTGTCCAACACATGACTTTCCTATCTAGGTATTACAGGCTTTTTCCGGTTATTTTGTACAACCTATTGCAGCATCTCTATAAATGTTTAGAGGATAAACTAAATATATACATTGTCCACATACATCTACCGCGAAACATTTTTCTATAGATATTCATTGAAAATGAAAATACTGAAAAATTTAGCACTTTTCCTACAATTTTTCCATTACGGTCCATTTTAAAAAAATCATGTATAAACAAATATTATAGAGATCGATATCGCAAACAACTTTTATTTCAACAATTTTCATAAAAATCAGAATTTTGCACATTTTGTCAAATTTTTCGAATACGGACCATTTCAGGAAATTTTTACATAAACCAAAAATTATAGATAATAATATTAGAAGTAACTTTTATTTGAACAATTTTTTTCTTCAAACATAAATAACAGATATATTCCATAAAATATAAAAACGGCCTCCCATAAAGTACCCCCCCAGATGTTCCGACTTTGTCCAAAATCTAATCATTTCACGTCAGGCCGAAATAAAACTTAAGTTTAAAATTTAATGTTTTTTTCTTTATCCATTTTTGAGTTTTCTTCAAATTTCGAAATTTACACATTTTCTCAAATATCTCGAATACGGTCCATTTTAGAGAAATTATCTATAGGATAAAAATTATAGAGAATTATATTACAAACAACTTTTGTTTGAACAATTTTTATAAAAAAAAATATTTTTTTACATTTTGTCAAATTTCGCGAATACGGACCATTTTAGGAAAATTTTGTATATAACAAAAATTATAGATAATAAAATAAGAAGTAACTTTCATTTGAAGAATTTTCTTCCCCAAACGTAAATAACAGATATATTCCATAAAATATAAAAATGACCACCTATAAAGTACCCCCCCAGATGTTCCGACTCTGCCCAAAATCTAATCAGCTCATTAGACGTTAGAACAAAGCTTAAGTTTGAAATTTGGTGTTTTTCCGTGTATCGGTTCATGAGTTATGCGTTATACAGACACACACACACACACACACAGACATCATCGCGAAAATAGTCAAAACGGATTCAGGGGACCTCAAAACGTAAAAATCCGTCGAAAACTCGAGGTCGAAAAAAATCATGATTCCTATACTTTCCTTATATCTGTATACAGATAGGAAAGTAAAAATAGGCAGTTATTTTGTCCAATTATGCCTAAATATGCAAATGCATATTTGTTAAAAATACTTAAAAAAAAGTAGGGGGTGGGTAGCTCAGTGTAGTGCGTTGGCCTGTGGACTTAGGGGTCCCGGGTTCAAATTCCAGCCGGGACGCGATTTTTTAAATTAATTAATTAATTTAAAAATTAATTCTGATGCCTAGCGAATATTTCCACTTGACCATTCACTGTTGGGTTCTAATTAACATTGCTGTTCCTAATTTGGTACGATATCAAAGCCATTACACGAAAAAAAAAAACAAAAGAAATATGTAATAAAAAATTTATTTAAAACAAACGAAACACAAAAACTAGTAGAAGTTAAGTATCGAATAGTATAAAAATATTAAATAGTAATATTATAATAGGAATTTATAATTAAATATTTTTCGAAATTTTCTATTAAAAATTTTTGTCTTCTGTCTGTAAAAATATGTTTTGATATAGAAAAGGTCCTTTCAACATCTACCGAAGTAATAGGACAATACCGTAATTTTGGAAGTAATGTAATGTAAAACTTCTTTGGAAAATTTTCCCTCAAAAATGTTTTTCACTTCCCTTATTTCATTGAACCCTTCATTCTTTAATAAAGTTGTATTTAATTTTTTTCTAATCTTAAGGCCTATGTCACCAGGAACATTGTTACATTATAACTGTTGCAATAAAATTTGTTGATTCGATTAAACTTAAATTTTTCTTTTCCAATGAAGTTATTACGTCAGGTAAAAAACTAAAATTAACCTTTATAAACACAAGTTGCTTAAGCACAAGGGGATTTTTTAACAATTCTTTACTTTGCACTACACATTGTGAATTGTCTTCTATATCCAAAATTAAATCCTTAATTGCTTCAAATTTTTCTGCATAGAATATAGCTGCTTTAATCCATGTCCCCCATCGCGTAATTACGGGTTCCGGGGGCAAATACACCCCTACCATTCTCTCTTTATACAACTGCACTCTTAAAGGGGCTTTTAAAAATATTTTTTTCACATTCGAAATTAGCTTGTTAACCAAGGGATATTCTGTTCTCACAGTTTCTGCAACTAAGTTTATTCCATGAAGAAGACAAGTAACGTGGGCCATATTTGGATAAAATATTTTTAAGTTTTGCCCTACTTTTATCATATATGGTGCTGCGTCAGACAAAAACACTAAGAACTTCTCTGAGGGAATTTGATTTGGTAAAAAAAATTCTGCTAGAGATTGTTGAATAAATCGGGTAACAGTTGTATTGTTAGTTTTTTCTAACTGTTTTGATGCAATTAAATATTATGTACCTGGTTCATTTTCTTTTAAGACTCCAATCATAAGATGTACCATATATCTTCCACAAGCATCTGTGCTTTCATCAACAATGATGTAAAAATTGCTATCATCCAATAAAACTTTAATTTCTTCTATTACATTTATATATATAGCATGTACACTTTTTTTTCTGAGTGTAGATTCGTCAGGTATGGTTTGATTGCAATATTTTTGAAAAAATTCTCTTAGATGTAGGTTTTGTAACTTCTTTAATGGAATATTTGCCGCAACAAGAGCTTTGCACAAGTCCTGATTAAATACCTCCTTGTCACTTTTTGTTTTGTCGGCGTTTTGAAATGACCTCACAACGCATTGTTGAACCGGTTGTGATTTCATTTTTTGCAATTTGGCTTTATGCAATGATGTTTTCACGTGTTGAACCACTTTGAACTTTTTTTCGCAAACCACTATTTTGGCACAAGCTTTACAAAAAACTTTATCCCCATTGATTTCCAACTCTGGAAAGTTAATAATTCACGAAGAAATTCTCGACATTTTAGGACACTTTTAAAACAACAAATTATTACACTTTTAAAACAACAAATTATTACAAGACTTTTCACTAGGCAAATAACGAGGATACTATCTCATTAAACTGAATGAAAAACATTCAAAATATTCCGATGTTAGGGTAGATTGGTTACAAGAAATTACTGAGAATTTTATATAAACCGTTTTATTGCATTGTAGGTAATACTTTATCTGTGTAAATACCATCTATTAATAATTACCTTAATGGGCTTAATCTCTTAAGAAGGTAAAAACCCAGTTCATGCCACCCTCCAAGAACTAATTAACAAGAATTTACAAGAAGTGACACTTAAAAACAAATACAAAAATTTAAAAGGTCTTTATTTCAAATATATCTGTATAATCTGTTAAAACAGTTTTTGATTTGCACAGTATAGTAATACATTTTTTTTTTCGAAAATATGCAATATTTTCTTAAATTTTCTGAATTTTGGTAAAATATGTAATATTTTCTGAATTTTGGAAAAATATGCAATATTTTCTGAACTTTGGTAAAATATGCAAAAAATGCATATATATGCATTTTGCATATATTCCGCTCTCTACTAATAAATATTTTTCAAGACCTATAAATTTGACTATTAGGTATACCTACATTAAATTGTTTAAATCGTTATTCATCATTGACTTCTTGAAAATTTTTGATGTCAAGGTGAAATTTAATGACAAGTGGAGAGAAATATTTCAGCTTAGATTATAGAAAGTAATCTGAGGGTTCAAAAATCTATAAATATGACTATAATTGTAAAATGTAAATGGGATAAATCCTTAGATCCTTAGATTATAGAAATCTATAATTTAAGGGTTAATCGTTATTTTACCATCTTCTTGGAGATTACTAATGCCAAGTTGAGGGCTATTTAAATTGATCTTGAATTGTAAATATTTTCTACCTGTAGAGATTACATACTTACTTTATTTTTATTGATTACAATGGCTAGAAAATATAAACTATAGTATCGCCATCTATCTTACGTCTCAAGTATAGTGCATCTCGTTATAACAAAAATATATCTCTAGTTTTACTTTTTTTTTTTCATGTCTATTTTCTTCCATTAAGAAGTTAAGAGAAGGGGGGCACAAGCTACGTCCTTATTGTATAAAAAAAAAATCAATTTAGAACATGTATTTATATGAAATTGTAGTCATAACATGGACATGGAATTATGTTCTTCAATATATACATGAAATTTTTAAATTTTTTTTCCTTGACATTTTTGTTTAAAATTATGTTCAGACCTGGTCTTCTCGAAATTTCCTATATTTCAAAAATTTTTAGAAGTAAATTATACAATAAATTTTTCTTATTTTAGGATTTAATGTGGAGACTGTAGAATATAAGAATATCAGCTTTACGGTGTGGGACGTGGGTGGTCAAGATAAAATTAGGCCCTTGTGGAGACACTATTTTCAAAATACACAAGTAAGTATATTGTTTTTTTTTTATCATTATATTCATAATAAACTGAGGTGACCATTATTTTTTAATGTCTCAATTTTTCTTTACTACAATATGAAAGAAACTACAGTATGTTTATTTTTTAAAACTAGGACTGAAAGTCAGAAGGTGGAATTTTCACTAAAAATTAAAAAAAAAAGCATCATTGAACTCTGGGATACTCCGTTTAATTTTAATTTAAAAAAGCAATTAAAAAAGTGTTGCTGAATATCTGCAATACAAAATTACTCGATTTTTTATGTCCTGGTATTATTTATGTTTATTTTTATTATTTTTTAATTTTAGCAAACCATATCACTATTGTTTAAAGTGATTTTAAATAGTAAATTTTAAGCTGTGCAAATCTAACTTGTTTTATTCTTTTTATAATGTCTAGTAACCCACAATTTGATAGAGTAATAATGTAATAATTGAAATTGGCAAAATGTGCCTTATTTTTCTACGCACAGTATAACTTTGCTTGTTGAAGCTTTTACGTTTTTTTTTTTGCAATCAATAGTTATTCTATTCCATTATTTATATTTGATATTAGTTACAGATCGATTTAAAAATATTAGCTTTATTAAAATATTCTGCATAAAATTAGTCCATTATTGATTAAAAACGTATGTAGAAATATTAATAAAATGTTAACCTTGATTATTAAAGATAACAATCCTACTTTTAATCAAATTAGCAACATATTGTAACGACGGTAATAAAATCATGATGTACTTCCTTTTGGTTATTAATTAAATAAATATAGAATCTTTATAATGAGATACTTTACACGTGTTTAAATTTTTGTATATTCATGACTAGGAAAAATTTAGAAATTTTAATACATCAGTAGAAAATTAAAAAATGATTTACGTCAGAATTATTATTATTAAGGATATTAAAAAGGTTATTGTTGCACCCTAGGGTCAAATTCCTTAAGGTTAACCTCTTAAACAACTAACAATCCTACGAATAGCAGCATAAATAAACTTCAAAAAGGCTAATTTTCATTAGAATCACGTTTTTAAGTATTATTTCAGGTTTTATGTGTATCATCTGGTAATATTTACATAGTATTCATCATTTTTCATTTATAATTAATAGGCTTTCCATCTGGTTGAACTATAAATAGCCAGTCGGATATATTACTGTTTTAATTATCATTTTTTATGTGATCGTTTTAGAGGACTTATAAAATTTTCTTTGATCATATTAATGGTCAATGAATTTCACTACTTTTATTTTTGGGTCTTCTCTGAAGTAAAATTTAAGTAGTATGTATCATGGACGTAAGCAAAAACAATTAATCTACAAAATTTCGTGAAAATTCAAACGAATGTACTAGTGTCCTAATTAATTTTGGAAGCGACCTAGATTTGTAACTGACTTATGTGACCTAATCTTAAGAACTTATGAAAGAGTTCAATATCTTTATTCATCTTTTAAAAGACAACTTCACGACATATCTATATGATAAAAATTAATAACCCCAACCCCAGAAATAGTAAAACATGATATAACATGCTGATTTGCATATTTAATAAACTAGCGTTGCTATTTGAAGGGTAGTTTATTTCTGAAAGCTGTTGCAGAGAAAGGAATAATTATCTATTATTAAATATAAATTAATAAATAAACTAGAATGAAGATATAAAGGGTGTTTATTAATTGAGTGCCGATACTTAAGGGTGTGAATCCTTGGGTGATTTTAAGATGAAAAGTTAATATCGACATATATCGTAAACCTCTTAATTTTTGAGCTACAAGGTATTACAGTTTTAAGATTTTTGTCCCCAAAAAAGTGTTTTCACGCATGGTGGGTGCCTACCAAATTTCAACAAAATATCAAAAGCAGTTTCAATGAACTTCAAAAAAAAAAATGATCTGGTTTTTATTTTTTTAAGTGAAAACGGTGCTTCGTAAGAAAGTAAGTCCGTGGACCAAATTTGCTCCAAAATAAATGAGGATTTCAAAACTAATTTTTGTTTTTAGAAAAAGCAGTGACATACCATTTTTTTTTCTTCAAACATATTCAGTTCAAACTCCGTACGGACGTCACTGGTGAATATTTAAAAAAATCTTTAACGTCAAAAAACACGCTTTAATGATTAAAATGTGCGTACAAAATTTCATAAAAATATCTGGAGTGGTAAAAAAAATATGATAAAGAGTTATAAGAAAATTATGATAGTTATTTTTTCTTAAAACTGTAACACCCTGTGGCTCAAAAATTGAGGCTTACGACCCAAGAATTCACACCCTTCGGCGCTCCATTAATAAACACCCTGTGTAATGCTTGGCATTCTATATTATACTTTTCACTGTTTAACAGACCCCCTAACCCCCTCATTTTTAATCAGATTTTTTTTAGATTCAATGGGTTTCATCTTATAGAGCTTGATTTTTATGAAGATGTCAGTTTAATATCGTTTTTGTTTCTGAGTTTCTGGTTTTTTCAAAATTTCAACCTCCCTTATTACCCCATTTTTATTTATTTTTTCCCCTATAGAGATTGATTTTTACTAAATATTTCATCTTAATGTCGCTTTTGGTTTTTGATTTCTTTTTTTTTTTATTTCTACTTCCCTTGTCCCTCATTTAATTCAGATTTTATTAAATCAATAGGCCTTGTCTCCTTATAGAACTTGATTTTTGCCAAAAACGAGTTGATATTATTGTTCGTTTTTGAGTTAGGATTTTTTTTTAATATTTCAATCTCCCTTGACTGCCATTTTTTTTAAGAGCTTCCCATATAGGTAGAGTTTGTTTTTTTTTTGTTAAAAAAAATTTAAGTTGGTATCATTTTTCGTTTTTGAGTTAGGATATTTTTGAAATATTTTATCTCGAACCTTAACCCCCCTAATTTATTCAAATTTTTTTAGAACTTGATTTTTAATAAAAATTTCATATTGATCACTTTTGTTGTTTTTTTTTCACATTTTATTCTTCAGTTTTTTAAAATAAAGCTTTATTTTTGCCAAAAAATAATTTCAACCCACCATAACCCTCATTTTTAGTTAGGTTTTTAATATTTTAAACCGTCCCCCCCCTTAACCCCCCAATTTATTCGGATTTTTTTAGAATCTTTGTTCTTCATCTTCTTATAAAGCATGATTTTTACTAAAAAATTTTTGTTGATATCACTTCGTTTTTTTATTACGATTTTTGTAAATTTGAACCCCCTTAACCCCCATTTTTAAACAGGTTTTTTCGAAATCAATAGGTAATTACAAAAATTAACATGGATTTAGAAAAAATATAAAATAAAACTGCCATTCATTAATTTTATCAATAGGCTTTAGATGCGATTGAAGCATGTGATGATGCTATCGGGATATTCTGTGATCTTAGTCGCGCCTTCGACTGTGTCAATAATAATAATTAATAATAAACTTTGCAACTTTAATGTTTTTATACAGATATAAAACATGTGCCAAATAAGGCTGCAAAAAGGACTGGTGAACAGTAGAGACTGATCAAAGCACCAGCCCTGAAATATGTCCAACACCACAAGACATCATAAAAAAATATATGTAAACAAATATAATTTTTTTAAAGAAAATATGAACATTTAAAATGTAGGTAGCTATTACTTTCGTGTGTCGAGAAGAAACTTTTTGTAAGATTTTTTGAAATTTTTACAGACATTTCTTTAAAACGTTCTGGGATGTCATTGTACAAAGCGTAAATTTTAGGTGAAAGACCGTCTAAAAATAGTATTATGTTATGGAGGTGAGATACGACCACAAAAACGTAGATTAAGGTTATGAACATCAGAAGGAAACCTTATTTTGTTGAAAAGATATGGAGGGGATTTATGTAAAACTAGCTATTGCCCGCGGCTTTGCTCGCTACTTCCTTTTTTTATTAATTTTTATTAGTTTTATTGATTTTCATTTATTTTTATTCATTTTTTTATATCAATTCATATTTATTCATTTTTATTGATTTGTATTCATTTTTATTCATTTTAATTTATTTTTATTCATTTTTATTAATTTTTTATTAATTTTTAATAATTTTTAATAATTTTTATTAGTTTTTATTAAGTTTTATCCATGTTTTCCCCCCATGTGAAAATTCAAAAACCATGAAACACATCATTTTTGATTTTTAGTCAGTAGCTGTAATTCAAATCTTTATATTTCCAACTTTAAATAACAAAAAAATCTATAAATATATAAATTTTCATCCCCCCCCCCCATTTCCCCCCCTTAAAATGTTAAAATGCACAAACCCTGAAACACTTCGTTATTTATTTATGATTAGAACCTACAATTCCAATTTTCAAGTTTCTACCTTTTACAGTTTATCAAATTTCTAGAGGTGTTCGACGCCCAGACAGAGAACGCGCTACGTGTGACTAAGATAGCTATTGTACAGTCTGCTAAACAAGTTATTTTAAATAGTTTTTAATATTTTTAGGTAATTAAATTTTAAAAGTGTGGAATAGTTTAGGGATTAAATTGGTCTGATAGAACTTTCTTAGAACGTTTTTAAAAGCAGCTAAAGATAGTATGTAGAATTGAAAATAATTATTATGCCATAAAAGGTGTTTTGGAATTCCTTCAACCTTTTGAAATTGAGTCAGAAAATATAAATTTTATAGGATAGCGGAAAATACCTATAATTTTTTGTAGGCCTTTGTAAATCGTGGAAATAGTTTATATATTTTTTCTACCTTATTAAGGAAAATGGTACCTATTATTAATAACGGTTGTTTCAGAAACATTACTAAAAATTTCGAAATTTTGTTTTTCTACAAAATAATAAACTATACTATTTAGAAAAAAATTTATTTCTCTTATAATTTTATAAAAAATAACAGGGGAATAATTACATTTCTTGATCTATTAAACAAAACGATAAATTATCTCGACGAATGACACCATGTTCTAGTACGGAAGCTAGCTTTACATTTTTGTTGGTGGTTTCATGGGTTTCATATCAATTTTTTGTAATTGTAGTTTACACGTACTTATACCTCTTAACACTTGTTTGCTTTATTAAAAAAGTGTGTTGTTGTGATTTACGTCGAAATAAGTCAAAAACAACTTGAAACCCCATATAAAATCAAAAAGGAGAAACGGAAAAAAATTGAGCCTGTAAATGAACACAACTCGGAAACAAAAATAGCTATCTAATAATAAAAAAATAAAATTTGATTCTTGTGCAGCTTCATCTATATCATTAACTGTTTTTGGTTTTTTAATGGTTTTTCTTGGTGATGAAAATTCCGATATCTCACGGTTATCGATTCTTTTTTTCTCTCCAGAAATGCGGACGACAGTGTTTTTAGATACTCCTGTGGCTGCAGCAACACGATCATTTACATTTTTAAATGGTATTGAAGGTGAATTAAAGTTTCCTTCTCTTCTCATAAACTCTATAACATTGGCTATTATTTCGCGAGATTGACTGTTAATCACGCGGCCTCTTAATTTGCTATTAAACTCCATACTTAGGTTCTATTAAACTGTAATGAGCAAAAAACACAAACGAAAATAAAAGAAATGTTTTAGCGAAATTTACATCTGACATTTACGTCTGAATGAAATAGTGAAATACTTGATGCGCAGAGTGTACTTTCATTGCGTAAATCCGTCTGGATGCCTGTCAGTAGTGCTTTCTCTGTCTAGCCGTCGAAAGCCTCTAGAAATTTGATGAACTGTAAAAAAATCGATATTCCCAAATAAACTTTCACCCCCCCCCCGTTTCCCACCCTTGAAATGTGAAAATCCAAAAACCCTAAAACATGTCATTAATAATTTGTACTCATTAGCTGCAATTCCAATTTTCTTGTTTCTAACTTCAAAGAGAACAAAAAAAAATATACTCCCATACAAACTTTTACCCCCCGTTTGCCCCCCTCAGGATGTTAAAATATAAAAATTCTAAAGCACATTATTATTAATTTGTACTTAGTAGCTGCAATTCTAATTTTCATGTTTTTAATTTTAAAGAAAACCAAAAACAAATACTCCCAAATAAATTTTCAACCCCTCATTTCCTCCCTTAAAATGTGAAAACTCAAAAACCCTGAAACATGTCATTAATAATTTGTAGTCAGTAGCTGCAATTCCAATTTTCATGTTTCTAACTTCATAGAGAACAAAAAAATCGATAGTCCCATACAAACTTTAACCCCCCATTTTCCCCCCTTAAAATGGGAAAATCCAAAAACCCTGAAACACATCATTATTTATTTTTGCTTAATAGCTGTAATTTAAATTTTCATGTTTCTAACTTTGAAGAACAAAGAGTTTCATTAAAAGCTCCCTCCCCCTTTTCCTCCCATTTCCCCCCTTTATAGTTAAAATTTCCAAAAATCCTTTCTTAGCGGATGCTTACGTTATAAAATAAACCTATGTTCCAAATTTCAGCTTCCTAGGCTCAGTAGTTTTGACTGTACGCTGATAGGTCAGTCAGTCAATCAGTCAGTCAGTCAGTCAGTCAATCAGTCAGTCAGGACAAACAATTTTATATATATAGATAATAGAATGAAACAGATTTGCCAAGTGCAAGACTCGTCTGAATTTCATATCTAGCCAGTTTGAATCCTTGAGTTTATGCGAGACTGTCGAATTTCCATATTTCATGTGAAAATCTGCGCTATCTAAAAACGAATTAACGTTAGAAAAATCCACATTGATATTCGCAGTATACCACAAAATTGGTTTCAATCATATCTTTGTGATCATCCATATGCAGTGGCCATAATCTCAAAAAGTAGTCTATATCCAATGAAGAGTTATTCGTCATGGGTAGTGAAAAATACTGGAGTTCTCAAGGTTCAATTCCGGACCTATTACTATTTACTCTCTATTTAAATAACTTACTAAAAGTATATTACAATGTTTGACTGACTTGTTTATATATAGATGATGCAACATTATTCATTGCTGACAAATCAGTTAAATATTGAATCCTATGCGCGGTCATATTAAAGCACTGTATTTACCTCCTTTATATTTTGTTTACATGCACGTTTGGCAGCAACGTCAATACCGCATTGTTATCTGTCGAGAAATCCCATAACTGATTTTTCACGATTTTTATTGTTATATTCCCTTATTCTTCATTATGGCTCTGTCTTTCTTTAAAAGTAAAATAAATAGTTGTAAAAATAAAGTTTCTACTTTTAATTCAAGTTACTAGAAAAGAGGTGAATCTATTTACAAACAAATACAGTCCACTAAACTAAGAAATCGATAATTTACAAGTTCCAAGGGAGGTTCTTAGATAACTTCTAATTTTTTCAAAATTACTGTATGGGATAACAATTTGGACATGCTTCACTAGTATTTGTGAAGTTCTTCTACTTCACTAGTATTTGTGACGTTCTTCTACACCTACACCACAAACTTATATTAAGGTCTCTTACAAATAAACCAGCAACATTTTCGTGTAGAGCTTTACAGCAACTGCTTATAACAACAACAAAAACTATCTTTATTAGTTTCCCAAAATGATATTGACCTAAAACTTTCTGCCCTACTTCTAATAAATATTCACAAAAATAAATGATAAATTCAATTATTAGTAATTAAAAAAAAAAAAAAAAATAACCAAAATGTAAAACTTATACTTTTGGTAAAGAGGTTTAAATTTTAAGAAGCCATCTTTATAATACCATACCCGATGATTTGAAAAACAGATTATAAAATTCATAAACAATATTTAAAATTATTTGTTAATAACATAATCAATTCTACATGAAAATATTTATGTATTAACATACGTGGGAGTGGAGTAATCTGAAAAAGAAAATCTGGTAAATATTTTTAATTGAGTTTATAGTGATATTTTTAAGATTTCGTTTCCACACTATCTTATATATTATATGTAGTCTATAAACGATCTACAATATAAGGAGATAGAACTCACAGCGCGTTGATTTTTTTATAGTGGAAAGCTTCCCCTATAGGCCTACAAAACCATATTAAAATAAACTCAAACCGGTAGGTAATTGAGAGTTAATGGATGTTATTAGTTTTTTTTTCTTTGACTTATAGTAAGGCGAGCGTGGATTCCTGACTATAGGATTTAGTAGGAAAATTATAAGTTGTTTGAAACTGGACTCGCTTCTATGTAGCTTTCAGTCAGTGTTAGAGTTGCCCAGTCTATTTCTAGATAGTTAATTTTTGCCAGATGAAACTCTTAAAAACAATTTTATTTTTGTAAGTAATAAAATCTAACAAAAAAAAAACTATTTGCAGGGCCTAATCTTCGTAGTGGACAGCAACGATAGGGAGCGTATCACCGAGGCCAAAGACGAGCTCATGCGCATGCTCGCCGAAGACGAGCTCCGGGACGCCGTACTTCTAATATTCGCTAACAAGCAGGACCTGCCTAACGCCATGAACGCGGCCGAAATCACCGACAAGCTCGGTCTGCATTCGCTGCGCAACCGCAATTGGTACATCCAGGCCACGTGCGCCACCAGCGGAGACGGTCTCTACGAAGGTCTCGATTGGCTGTCCAATCAGCTGAAGAACGCCAATCGTTAGTGTCGAGGTGTCAGTGCGAAGTGCAGTTCTCTTAAAAAAATTTTTTTCATTGTACTCTTGTCGTGTCTATATATCTCGCGGACGATTCGTTGTACCATATGTTGCAATTTTTATGTAATTTTTTTTTATAGGTAATCGACACGGGGACGCAATTTTATCTAGGATGTCAAATGCGGGTGAGTTTTGCCTCGAAAGTTGTTCCATATGGATTTTAGAGACTCCTAAAATGAATGTAAGAAGGTTTTAGACACTTGTAAGGTGTTTTTAGATATTGTAAGAAGTTTTTAGACACTTGTAAGGCGTTTTTAGGCATTGATAAGGTATTTTTAGTGTTGAAAATCACCTGTAAGATGTTTATGAACTTCTTAGCTTTTGGGACAGTTTTGTGTAATGCAGCACTTATTTGTAAGTTTTTAATTGGAATTGGAAAGAGAATCTCGGCTTTGATGTAAGTTGAGTGGTTTTTTTTGTGGTCAAAACTGTCTTAAAAATAATTAGAATTAGAGGTATAAAAAATAGAAGAGCAAAGAAATTTGATCTTGTATTTTTTAAACCTACAACGTCGTCATCAGCATCCAACATCTAAAAGAATTAATTAAAAAAGCAATGAAAATTGCACCAAAAAAAAAGTGTTTTAGGACACCACCCAGGTTTAAAAAATGGAGGACCGAAGAAATTTGATCTTGTATTTTTTAAACCAACAACAGCAGCAGCAGCAACAACAACAATTAAAAGAAAATAATTTATTCAAAAAAGCAACGAAAGTTGCACCAAAAATATGTGTGTTTTCGGACACACGCCTGGTTTAAAAAATAGAGGAATGATGAAATTTGTTCTTGTATTTTTTAAACCAACAACAGCAGCAACAACAACAATTAAAAAAAAAAGAATTTCTTTGAAAAACGAAACTAAGGTTTCATCATGAATATGTGTGTTTTAGGGCACACCCATTGTTTAAAAAATAGGAGAACAAAGAAATTTGTTCTTGTATTTTTGTATTTTTTAAGCCAACAACAACAGCAGCAGCAGCAGCAACAACAATTAAAAGAAAAGAATTTCTTTAAAAAACGCAACTAAGGTTGCACCAAAAATATGTGTGTTTTAGGACACGCGCCTGGTTTAAAAAATAGAGGAACAATGAAATTTGTTCTTGTATTTTTTAAACCAACAACAACAACAACAGCAGCAACAACAACAATTAAAAGAAAAGAATTTCTTAAAAAACGAATTTCTTTCAAAAAACGCAACTAAGGTTGCACCAAAAAAAAAGTGTGTTTTAGGACACGCGCCAGGTTTAAAAAATAGAAGAACAAAGAAATTTGATCTTGTATTTTTTAAACCAACAGCAGCAGCAGCAGCAATCAACAACAATTAAAAGAAAATAATTTATAAAAAACGCAACGTTAGTTGCACCAAAAAAAGTGTGTTTTTAATGCACATGTAAGGCGTTTTTGACGCTTGTAAAGTGTTTTTAGATATGTCAGATGTTTTTAAACATTGTAAGGTGTTTTAGACAATTGTACAACGGTTTAAAACATTTTATGAAGTATTTAAACATTTGTAAGTGTTTTATCCACTTGTAAGGTGTTTTTAGCCACTTGTAAGATATTTTTAGGCACTTGTAAGTTGTTTTTAGACATTACAGGTCTCTAAAGTCCATTTTCAACAACTTTCGTGGCAAAAGCGTTGCATTTGCCCTCGCATGATGTGCACTATACATTAATTAATGTTATTATTTATTCTTTTTGTACCGTCAGGGTGGAAGCAAGCTTATTTTGTAACATATATTTTTTCTAATAGGCTAAAATGTACAGTAGACGCATTATTTAAATAAAACCTTTTTTATTTTGTTACTGGAACTTTGGCATTGTAACATATGGTAAGCTGTTCGTATTCAAATAAAAGAACATGTTTTTAAAAAAAAGAAAAAATGGTTTTTGGGCACGGCTCAAATTATTTTATTATAAATTTAAGGAAAAGTACGAAAAGGCGCGTCCGAAACGATCGAATTCAAAACGACCTCCCCTCCTATCAGCGGTTGCCCCTCCCCCTACACGGGACGCAGTCTGGTTAGGTTTCAAGATTGAGTAGTTTTTTTATACTTATATAAATATATAAAGGGATTTTTTTCAAAGACTGGCCAACCAGCCGACCGGATTCGGGTCCCGCAGATCTTAAAAGACGGCTGATGATTCGGGGCGTTTTGACGGATCGGCATCGGGCGCGCCGAGCTGTACATACTTTGTTTACTTCTCAAATTGTAACTTAAACTTACGAAACTTGAGGCATAATTTTATTTTGACAAACAGTGGATTTGAGGTTACATTTATAAGTGATTTATTTAAAAAAAAAAATAAGATTGTTTTTTGATTTTTCGTGGACATTCCCCGTTTGTCAGCTGTATTATCAAATAAATTTATACTATTAAACTCTTCTGTTTTTTATTTTGACATTTCTATAACATTTTAGGGTTTTGACAACTTTGTAATGATTTCTTCACATATACAGGTACTTTTAGACAAAGGTGGGGTGATTGAAGTCTCAAAGGTAGTTTTTGGTCACATATACATAGTAAGATAAAAACATTCAAAAGTCCAAAAATAGAAGCTCTTACGGCATCTTTAGACATTGTAATGTTTTTAGGCATGTGTAAGGTATCTTTAAACATTGTAAGATGTTTTAAACCATGTGTAAAGCATCTTTAAACATTGTAAGATTTTTTAAACGCTTGTAAGATATCTTTAAGCATTGGTAAGATGTTTTTAGGTACCTGTGAGAGGCATCTATGGATATTTCAAGATGTTTTTAAACAATTTAAGGTATCTTTGAACATTGCAAAATGTTTTTAGACAGGCGTAAGGCATTTTTAGACATTAAAAGATGTTTTTAGATGCGTGTAAGGCATCTTTAAACATTGTAAGATGTTTTTAGGTACGTGTGATGCATCTTTGGAAATTCCAAGATGTTTTTATGCTATTTAAGGTAAGATGTTTTTAGACGTGCCTAAGGTATTTTTACACATTTTAAGATGTTTCTAGATGCGTGTAAGGCATCTTTGGACACTTTAAAATATTTTTAAATGCTTGTTCTTTAAACATTGTAATATGTTTTTAGATACGTGTTAGGCATCTTTGGACATTCTAAGATGTTCTTAAACCATTTAAGGGATCGTTGAACATTGCAATTTGTTTTTAGACGGGCGTAATGTATTTTTAGACATTTAAAATGTTTTTAGGTACGTGTGAAGCATATTTGGACAGTCCAAGATGTTTTTAAACCATTATATTTTAAAATGTTCTTAGACGGGCGTAGGGGATTTTTAGACATTAAACGATGTTTTTAGATGCGTCTTAAGACATTTTTGGACATTGTAAGATAATTTTAAACGCTTTTGGACATTGTAAGATAATTTTAAACGCTTTTAAACATTGTAAGATGTTTCTAGGTACATGTGATGCATCTTGTAGACATTCCAAGATGTTTTTAAGGTATTGAACATTGTAAGATGTTTTTAGACGGGCGTAAGGTATTTTTAGACATTTGAAGATGTTTTTAGATGTGTAAGGCATCTTTGGACATTTTTAGATATTTTTAAACGCTTATAAGATCTTTAAATATTGGAATATGTTTTTAGATACATGTGAGACATCTTTAGACACTCTTAAGATGTTTTTAAACCATTAAAGAATTTTTGAATATTGTAATTTGTTTTTAGACGGTCGTAATGTATTTTAAAGAGGTTTTTAAATGTGTGTAAGACATCTTTGGACATTGTAAGGTATTAAAATGTTTTTAGGTACGTGTGAGGCATCTTTGGACATTCCAAGATGTTTTTAAACCATTTAAGGTATCTTTAAACATTGTAAAATGTTTTTAGACAGGCGTAAGGCAATTTTAGACATTAAAAGATGTTTTTAGATGCATGTAAGGCATCTTTGGACATTGTAAGATAATTTTAAACGTTTGTAGATATCAAGATGTTTCTAGGTACGTGTGAGGAATCTTTGGACATTCTTAGATGTTTTTAAACCATTTAAGGAATCTTTGAACATTGTAATTTGTTTTTAGACGGGCGTAATGTATTTTAAAGATGTTTTTAAATGCGTGTAAGGCATCTTTGGACATTGTAAGATATTAAGATGTTTTTAGGTACGTGTGAAGCATCTTTGGACATTCCAAGATGTTTTTAAACCATTTAAGGTATTTTTGAACATTGTAAAATGTTTTTAGACAGGCGTAAGGCAATTTTAGACATTAAAAGATGCATTTAAGGCATCTTTGGACATTGTAAGATAATTTTAAACGCTCGTAGATATCTTTAAACACTGCAAGATGTTTCTAGGTATGTGTGATGTATCTTTTGGACATTCCAGGATGTTTTTAAGGTATCATTGAACATTGTAAGATGTTTTTAGACGGGCGTAAGGTATTTTTAGACATTTAAAGATGTTTTTAGATGTGTAAGGCAATGTAAGATATTTGTAAATGCTTGTAATATGAGATTTTTAAATGCGTGTCTTTGGACATTGTAAGATGCTTTTAGGTACGTGTGAGGCATCTTTGGACATTCCAAGATATTTTAAAGCCATTTAAGGTATCTTTGAATATTGTAATTTGTTTTTAGACAAGCGCAACATTTTAGACATTTAAAATATTTTTAGATAATGTAAGGCATCTTTGGATATTGCAAGACGTTTTTAGGGTACTGGTAATGCAAATTTGTTTATGATATTAAAATGAAAAATATGCCATGTCTAAACATACCTTACAAGCGTATAAAATAGATGTTTTCTAGACACACGTAAGACATCTTTGGACATTGCAAGATGTTTATAAACACTTTAATGTATCTTTTAGCATTCAAAGATGTTTTTAGATTCGTGTAAGGCATCTTCGTACAAGACGTTTTTAGGACACTATTTTGTTGTATGTTTTCAGAAACAAACAAAAAAAATTTAACCACTTTAAATGTTATACAAACGAATTTTTTTTTATGGTATTGTAAGCTGTTTTTTACACTGATTTTGATTTCTCTATAAAGCGTTTTCAGATTCTGTGATGTGTTTTAAACTCTTGTAAGATATCTTTGGACATTATAATGAAAAACATTCCATGTCCAAAGATACCTTACAAGCGTTTAAAATAGATGTTTTCTAGACACGTGTAAGACATTGCAAAATATTTTTAAACTCTTAATGTATTTTTGAGGATCCTAAGATGTTTTTAGACGCGCGTAAGGTATTTCTGGTAATTTAAAGATGCTTGTAAGGCATCTTTGGACGTCGCAAGATGGTTTTAGGACACTAGTAATGCTATTTTGTTCTGCGTGAGGTATTTTCGCAGACAAACGTTTTATCAGGCACTTCGAATGTTTTACACAAACCAAAGTTTTTTTTATGAAATTGGTAAGTTGATTTTGATATCTCTAAAAGTGTTTTTCAGATATGTGTAAGGTGTTTGTTTTTAGACATTCTCTAAATGTGATATTAGTCTCCCCTGATGTTTTTAGACAAATTATAGATGGATTTGATTTTTAAGGAAGGTATATATATTATATAGTATCAGCCAATGAATACCTTCTAATATCCCTTGGCACAAGTGTCTGTGAAAACTACAGAAAGCCAGCACTAGAGCAAGCAGGAAATAAAGCCAGCATATACGGCTTCGCGAACGTTACAACGCGATCGGGTCTTATAAATGGCGTATATATTTGGGTATATTATAATGATGTTTTCAGGTTTTAACAATCAAATAAATGTAAGTTTCCATAAAATATTTTCGGAAATTACAATGATTGTATTAAATATTTTGCAATGAAAAATAAAAAAACTATTTTATTACAATATAGAGATAGTATAAAATAATTATAAATCTATTACGATGAATAATTCTTTCTGAATTCCTTAAAAAACTTTTTAGAAACGTATTCCGCTATCGATAAACAACAGGTAGCTGCTGGGCTGGGTAGAAACACGCAATTGATTATCCTTTTTTGTATTCCTTTTCCCTCGAAGAACTCGAAAACGAAATCATCCTAAAAATAAATAATTTTGAGATAATTTACAATCTTTAAGTTTGTTCGGGTTTCTTTAAAACTAGATGCAAACCGTCCGAGAACCAGTGAAACAGATGAATTTCAAATTATTTGTCGCATACAACTATTAAACTGTCCACTGATCAACTAGTCCTCTGATAGTTCTCAATGTAGTTTTGAAGAACCCGAACAGACCTACAGAGGTAATTTTATCATATCCACCCTTAACGTATGCACATTTTTCAATGAAACACCCTATATATTAACATCTGGATACCTGAAAAGTCCCATCAACGTTCACAAGTTGCGTTTGAACAGCCACTGGTCCATCTGCAACGTCGTTTTTATCGAATTCCGCTAGTCTCTGCAGCTTTTTTATATAGTCTTCCGGGCAGAACCGGTTCTGTGCTTGATTTATACATTTCGAAAGGTACCTGCGCGTCATGTTTAGGAAATTCGGCGACGTTATCGTGTTCCTTAGGTATGTCAAGTTGATTTCCTCCTCGTTGTAGCCTTCGATACTGTACGCAGGGACGGCCGTCGGGCCTAAAAAAGTTAAAGAATATAATAAAATTATATATTAATAAAAATAAGTCTAGCATTAAACAAGTACCGCGTTTAGAGGGTTTAATTACGATTAGATAAGCTCAACAGACTCATCTGTGTTCCTCAACACTAACGGTGATTAGCAACTATGTCCATAACAAAAGACACAGAATGACCTGCTGAGGGCATCATTACTTAAATACTTGGCTGACCTATATATGCGAGGTCTCTTTAAATTTGAGTGTAACCCTATCCCTCTTAGATATAAAGGCCCGCTCTGGAAGGAAAGGCATTTCCCTACAATTATTGTGCATAGCATTTAAAATTACTTACCTAGTAAAGTAGTATTATCGATTTTCGGGGACAGGTGAACGCCCAAAAACGGCAAATTCAAATCGGGAACTTCGTAAACGTTAACCTTTACAGGCTGGCTTTTCAAAACGTGATAATTCACTCTGAACGATACGAAAATCCTACAATTCGTGAGGGATTCCCCGCACATCAATTCCTGCAGCTTGCCGGATTGCACGCCACCACTCACTATCAGATATCTGCTCTTTAAAAACAACTGTTCGTTGCATTTGATCAGAATCGGGTAATCTGGATCGTCGGAGGATTTTATGGTGTTGACTTCGTTGTTTAGTAGAATGTCGCCTTTGTTTTGTCGAATTTCCTGAGCTGCAAAGACAATAAAGTGATAAGGATGTTGTATAGATCTTTAATAAAGGTTATATGGGTCTGGATGCATGCCTTTACCTTAATATAAAGGATACCAGTAGTTGACAGTGCTCCAAAAGTCGACACCTCAATTTTAGATTATCACAAACAAGAAAAGTCTGCAAATCTAAAACAAAATATATATCACTTGGCATCATTGTTAGTACCTACCAGTGGCCCATATCCCAGTCTTATTTTGTTAATGACAGTGAGTGCATCAGGTGCCATTTTGTGCAAAGTTGTTGTGTGACTTAGTAAGAAGTATTGCCGACTACTGGTATCTTTACCTTATGCAGATTTATTGTGGATACCCTGCAGTATCGTCTAGTTTTTTGTTTTCTAACACACTGCAATTAAAGGCCCGGCCTAATTAAGCTGAAGAAAAGATTGTTATAATACTTCGCTGGGCAACTGCTACTAGTAAAATAATTTATGGCTTATCTATCCAAAACTAATATAGAATAAAAAAAATGTACTACACACAGTGAGAGGGTCAAGGAAGAAGAAATCCAGGAAGAAAACGTAGGTCTTAGTTAAAGAAAATAGTTTGCATGCAGCTCAGCAGAGTTATGTAGTCTCTAGTATCCATATTTCATATTGCCATCATGATTGCCAACCTTTCTTGAAGAGATGGCACATAAATAAGATACTTTATATAGATGCATAAAAACAAATATGTCCAAATAGAAGAAAGATTTTCAGCTTCCGCAGTCACGTTTCTTACCTAAATTGTTCGTAACCATCTCGAAATCAATGTTTCCAGTGTTAAAACACCAAATGGCCCACGAACCTTTACATTTCGGTTCTTTTTCCAAAACTTTGTCGATGGTCGGCAACAATTCCAAACCTTCGATATTGTTCTGTTTTCCTCGCACGTACAACTTCTTTAAAGTTTTGATTTCTTCATCCGTATTGGCAACGATTAGCTTTCCTGACTTGGTGTATGGTATTTTGTGATCGTCGCAATACTTGTAGAGGGATTCGACTCCCAGTTTGCATAGTTTGGATTTTAGACTGTCGGGTCTACCGAAAATTAAAAATTTGAATATTATTAATGAAATTAATTCGCGTTAGAAAGTGTAACTCTTTTATTTTTTCATAATTCATTAAATTATTGTATACAATTTCTGCACAATGTCACAATTTCAATAATTCTCTGATTCGTAATGATGTATCTCTTTTTGCAGTTTTATTTGATGATTCCTGAGGTCTGGAAGTCTTATATAAAATTTAAAAGAATGTACTCGACTCACAAAGTAGATGACTCAAAAAATTAATTCGTGACTTACAATTAGATAACGCAGATAGTCAGACATTCTTTAATATATTTAGTAAACATGATTTTCGCAAAATATATGTTGTGCTTAATATTATTAAGCTGTGCCTACCTGTAATATATTCCACAGTGAATAACTCCACTATTTTTTCGACTTTGATGCTTCCCAAATATGCCCTCTTTTTCAATAAGTATCGTTCTTAAATTTTCGCATTCCTTTTTGAGGGTTCGTCCGATAGCTGTACCAATTATACCACCACCTTAAAAATCAATTTTAATTCAGGTTCGATTAAGGGAATTGTATAAGAATTAATAGTTACCTATAATGGCTACGTCGTATCGAAGCGCTTCTTCTAGATCTTTTCCAGAGTCTTGTTGTATTTTCAGAGAACAATTTCGGAAATTTGTGTTTAAAATTCGATGATTTCGACTAAAAACGTGTCTTAACATTTTTTGACTTTGATGTAGGTGTATATAACGGTTCATTAAATTAATTTTTTAAGACTGTCAAAGCGATAGTTTTTGACCAATCGAAATTTATAATTTTATAATGCTATCTAGCTCATTCATTTGCATTTTAAGACGAAATACTTGAACATAGTGGCGGATCATGGGTTTTTGGATCCTTGTCCTTATACAGTGTGGAAAAGCCAAATGGAATAAATTCATTATTTCGATTACTGTACATATTTATAGAAAATCCCGAAACACGTCAAATTTAAATTATAAATTGACATTCTTTAAAGTGAAAATGTGATCCCTACCTTCAACCCCCTTTGAGTAACAGTTACAACCCCTAATTTTTTAAATGGTAAGTATAGGCTTGTGATATATCGTTTGAAAGGTCTCTTCAATCTCTATCCAAATATGTTATTGTTTTTAAATTTATTGCAAAAATTAACATAAAAAAAAATAAAATAAATGATAACCGAAATTTGTTACAATACACTCAATATGTAATATTTAATTGTTCATAACGTAAAAAATATGAATGTCAATGAAGTAGATGTTCAAAATGCTCACCGCGAATGTCTTGGCAACATCCTAATCTTGAATAAAAAATGTCTTCTAACGTTAATTAACATATCAGGCGTGACCGATCTAATCGCAAGCATTATTCGTTCTCTTAAGTCATCTAAATCACGTGGTTTAGTTTTGTAAACAATATTTTTCACATAGCCCCATAAAAAAAGTCTAATGGGGTAAGATCAGGTGATCTTGCTGGCCATTCTATTGATCCTCGCCTCCCTATCCAGCGACGAAATCATCCATGATACACTTGTTTTAGTCTGTGTGTAACGTGAACACTATCCTACTTCTGATTTAAGATTTAATTGATCGTTTCTGTTTTATTGATTATTAGTTTATATTTTATCAAGCCACTGGATTTTCTTAATAAAATAATACGTCTATTCAAATATAAACATTCACGAAACTAAATACATAATCACTTCTTATAAAATGTATTAATGCCAAGAAATAACAATAATTATTAATTAAAATTTAGAGAGCGTCAAACGTGTGCATAGGAACCCACGTCAATCATAAGTGTCTTTTTTATTTCTACCGTCTTCTACTCGTCGAGTGTATATCCAAAATCCCAGTATCGCTTAGGCAGTGGCGGCGTCTTGAATATTGCATGAATCTAACAATAGGTTTTATTTTACATTGCAACCCCGGGGTATTTCTAAAAACAAAATCAATCCTTTCTTAGTGAAAACTAAAACAAAGGTCCTCAAGCAAAATCAGATCCTTTTGTAACGAAGTCAATTTTTCCTTGATCACTTTATTTTAATTTATCATTTTTAATAAAAAATAAGCGCGCTCGAGCTGCTTATCTTAGGCTGGAACAGCTGCGCACCGCCGATCGAAATATCGATGCGCGGTAGTACTGGTCGTGGGTGGGAATTTCCCTCGCTTCCGTCGCGAATTAAAAGGATTTGGAGAGGCACTTGATTTCAGCCAGTTAAAAGTTAAAGCCGCATTTTCAATTAGGTCCGCCGTTGATACATTTTTCATATCGTGTTTATAAATCCGTTAGGTAAAAAACCTTGTTTCAGATTTTTATAGAAGAAACGTTTTGTATTGAGACCGCATTTAGTTTAATTTAAAAACCGAATTATCTTTTGGAAATAGGAACATTTTAATTCATTGTTGAGTTAAAAGATATAATTTGATTTCATTAATAAATATTAGAATTTATTTCTTGGCAAATATAATACCGTTTTTAAAGATATTGTTGTGAAAAAGATTTAAGGAATGTAACTTTTCTTTTTGTTAGTCTCAGACAGGTAATTTAATTTAATTAATAAATATTAGAAGTTAGCTCTTTAAAAATAGAATATCGTTTCTTTAAAGGGAATTGAATTGAATTTAAATAATAAATGATAGGATTTAGTAGGGAATATTTAGAAACGGAGTTTTCGAGGAGATTTTATCCCTCGTTTAATAGTTTTGTTTTCTCTTTTACCGCAAATTTAAATAATCTTAAATGGTATCATGTCCCTGTTTGAGCGGGCTCGGGATAACGATCAGCTCATTCTTGGATTAGGTACTATCCGCGTTAGTAGTTTTCTTCTCTCTGATAATAGTTCTGTTTTCTCTTTCACCGTCAATTTAAATAACCTTATATAGTATCCTGTCCCTGTCTGAGCGGGCTCGTGATGACGATCAGCTGATTCTTGGATTAGGTACTATCCGCGTTAGTTTTCTTTTTCCTTTGTGTTCTTTATTTTTTTTTTCGTGCAAATTGCAAATTAAAGAAATCTTAAATAGCGTCATTACCCGCAAACAAGACTATGAAGATCTTTTCAGATAGCCAGGCAGCCCTTAAGGCCCTGAGCTCCAATCGAGTTGACTCAAAGCTGGTTTGGAACTGTATAAATACCCTAGAGTGTCTCGGTGCCCGGAACAAAGTTACTTTGATCTGGGTTCCGGTACTCAAAATGGACACTCACGAACTGGAGAGATACCCCAGGGCTAACCCATTCGAAGGCGTTTATAAACAACCCTTACATGAACGCCTCTGCTCAGATCCGAGAATGGGGTAGGAGAGATCTACGCATTTTCACTGGACTGATGACAGAACACTGCCGTCTGGGCAACCACATGAGAAGGATAGGTCTGCAACAAACATCGGACTGTCGATTCTGCAGCGTGGAGGACGAGTCTGCAGAGCACATTCTATGTACCTGCTCCGCTCTGGAAAGAACCAGGTTCCAGATCTTCGGATTTACCCGACTGGAGCCTACCGACTTTAGAGAAGTCTCACCCAATTCAACCATGACCTTCATCAAAAGGTGTGGCTTGTACGGTGAACTATAAGTTAGTTATGAGCCACAATAGACCCATCTGGGTCGCAGTGGAGGGCGATGAGATCATCCCACTCATTTTCAACCTAACCTAACCTACCCTGTCTGAGCGTGCTCGTGGTGACGATCAGCTCATTCTGGGATAATAGGCTACCCCGGGTATAAATTAATTTTTTTTCCCTTTCCGAATATTTACTACAAGTAGTTCTTTCACGACCCTGTCTCCTCGCACTCTCTGCGACCATATATAGATAATTCTTCCTTACCGAAATAGTAAAGCACATTTTAATTTAATTCCCGATGCGACAGTTAAATAGTTAATTTTTGCTACGACCGCTCTAAGAATTTTCCCTTACCGAAATGGAAAATTACGTTTTAGTTTAATTACCGACTAAGTAGTCAAGTTAATTTTTCCTGCGACCGAAACACTCATTTTATTTTACTTCAATTTTGACGTCTGATTGAGACTAGTCTTGATTCAATACCGTCCGTTTTTTTGTTCAGGGTTATATTGACTATCATCGCAACGAGGGTGGGCGTTGAAATATATAAATTTTTTATTTTTAATGTGTAAATAGTTATTCACAATATATGTGACAATGTTAACTTGCCGTATTACTGATTACTAATTCCATACTTTATTTCCCCCTTGTATTTCAGCTAGTGATAAATTCTGTACCAACCCAAGCAACGATTAAAGCCCGTTATTTTTGGCCTACCATTACCTGTGTCTAAGTGACCTTTGACCACTGGAATTTTTCATCTCCATCTGTAGCTGCCCGAGTACTTTCGACGCCGTTTCGAGAGTTTGTGTAAATCATAACCAAAAATCTGGCGCTCGAGGAGCCGCCCGTAATCAGCGCCGTTCGTAAGGAATCGTTTTCTCTGTGGCGAGAAAACCCCTTACACTTTCTTAGTAAAATAAAAAAAGTCCTCAAGCAAAATCAAATCCTTTCTTAGTGAAATCTAATGTGACGAAGTCACTAAATTTTATTAATTAATTTTAAAAATGTATATTTCAATTAATTCCCGCCTGAGGACATGTAGAAGATCCCCGTATTTCTGTTTCCCAGGAATTACCGTTTTTCAACAATTGCGAGTACCCTCGTAGGTTAAAATATTCCTATATTTGCCGAAATCCGAATGGGCATTTTGTAGAGTCGATTTCGAACCAATTATCTACCTTTATTTGTCAAGGTACTAGAAGGACATTTTTTTTATTTTTAAATTGTAAACAGTCGGCTGTAGTAGTGGTATCCCCCACTCAAGTTTACCGAAAAGCATAAATTCAATCACATCTGGGAATTACTCTCTTGATTGCCGGCCACCGTAAGCTCTTGTCTCTCTTGATTTCAGACAGCCGAAAACTATTCTCCCTTCTGCAGTGTCGAGTGAAATACTCTGTGAGTGCCGTGATTTCGAAAGATTATTGAATAACCCCGTTTATTTTCTAAGGTAGGAAAACGCATATTATTTTTTATTGACTTTTTATATAATTGGTTGGGACACCCGTGTGACAAGTGAAAAATTTTGATTCATATCCAGGATATTTCATTTCATCCCTCAGTGGGAAACCGTTGGCAATTTTTATTTGAGACTGGATATAGGCTAGACTCTGAGTGCTCTCATTGTCAACGACTATATCCAATCTCTCTTAGAAACCGCCCAGTTAACATAGAAGTGAGAGGTTCTACCCGTATTCAATTTTTTTTTATTATTTTATTTTCTTTTTCGGAGGTTCGATCCGTTCCCGGATTAGAGTGCTCTCTCTCTCTCTCTCTCCTGACGATGTTATCTAATTTCCCAATATAGTGAAATTGTGATTTAAAAACTGACCTCCTTTGTTCATCCAAAAAAACTGATATAATTTGAGATATTGAATAACATAGTATCTGAAAGACTTGCCTCCATTTATCAACATTTTCAGCTCCAATTAAACGTCAAATTTCGTCATTTCAATGTTCTCGTTATAGGTTAAACAAGATAAAAAAATAGAAGATTTTTTGAATCGATTTATTATGAAATACTGTAAATTTTAAATAAAAAAATTATATACATAAGCAGTCTTTTTAAATTTTAAATAATATTTTACATTATAGTAATATACAGGGGTTCTTAAGACATGCACAAAAATGATTCTAATACAGACCTACAAATAATATAAGTAGTAATGACAGGGTAAAAATGACAAAATAACAATAAAAAGTACAAAAAAAAACAGTTTGCATTGTATCTCTTAGAAAAAAAATTAAATACTCTAAGAGGAATAAAATAATATTTACTAATCTATGTCCTTTAATAACGTTTAAAGAAATTATTTTGGCCAAAAGTCATTTTCTGCAATTATTTGGCAATGGTTTTTAAAATATTTCTCATCCATAAAACAACGAACAAATTATATTTAACTCCATTTTTAGTCTTATAAAATAAAAATTACCAAATCGGATAATGAAATTTGGCCAATAAAATCGATATTGACGCGTTACGAACTTTTTTATTTAACACTTACGTAGCGCTATCGTAGTAAAAAATAAAAATAAGACATTCCATAAAAAAAAAATAAGTACTGGTTTACGAAAATATTTTGCATCAAAATAACGTAGGTATTCTAAACGAACATCGTATTGATAATTTCGAAAGTTAAAATACAAAAAACGGTTTCGATACTGTGTTACTCGAGCGGTGGCCTCAAAGTTCGCCAGACTTAAAACCAATTGTTTTTTTTAATAACGCTATAATAAATAGGAAAACTTCAAAACATCAGTTTCTAACAAGAGTTAAAACTCGAGCGATGACCTCTAAACTCAGCAGATTTAAATCCAATAGATTTTTTTTAAATAATGCTGTCATTTATAGGAAAACTATAAACTAGTTTTCAACAAGAGTTAAAACTCGAACGATGGCCTCAAAATTGGCCAGATTTAAATCTAATCTGTAATAAGTAGGAGAACTTAAACCAGTTTCTAATAAAAGAGTTAAAAATTGAGTGATGGCCTTCAAGTTCGCCAGACTTACATCCAATTGATTTTTTAACAACGCTGTAATAAATAGAAAACCCAAAAATACCAGTTTCTAACAATGGAGTTCGAATTCGAGTGATGACCACCAAATTTGCTAGATTTAAATCTATTTGATTTATTTAAATAACACTAATAAATAGGAGGTTCCAACAAAAGAGTTAGAATTCAAACGATGGCCTCCAAGTTCGGCAGACTTAAATCCAATTGCTTTTTAAAAATAATGTAATAGGAAAACAAAAGAGTTACAACTAGAGCGATGGCCTCCTAGTTCGCCAGATTTAAATCCAATTTTTTTTTTTTAAATTACGCTGTAATTGACAGGTGAATTTCTACACATCAATTTTCAATAAAAGAATTAGAACTCGAACACCAGGTTCCAACAAAAGAGTTACAACTAGAGCGATGACCTCCTAGTTCGCCAGATTTAAATCCAATTACTTTTTAAATAACGCTGTAATTAATAGAGCTTTTAAACACCAATTTTCAACAAAATAATTAGAACTCGAACATTAGGTTCCAACAAAAGAGTTACAACTAAAGCGATGACCTCCTAGTTCGCCAGATTTAAATCCAATTGTTTTACAAAAGCTACAACTAGAGCGATGGCCTCCTAGTTCGCCAGATTTAAATCCAATTGTTTTTTTTTTAAATAACGCTGTAATTATTAGGAGAACTTTTAAACGCCAATTTTCAACAAAAGAATTAGAACTTGAACACCAGGTTCCAACAAAAGAGTTTCAACTAGAGCGATGGCCTCCAAATTCGCCAGATTAAGTCCAATAGAATTTTTAAATATTGCTGTAATAAATAGGAGAACATTAAAACACCATTTCTCAACAAAAGAGCTAGAACCAGAGCCATGGCCTCCAAGTTCGCCAGACTTAAATCCAATTGCTTGTTTTGCATAAAAATTAAACCAGCGGTGTTTTGAAGGAGTTTTTGGGGTCACTTATTTTGAATACGATTTTAAAAATTAGATATGCAAACTGGCGGATCCAATATGGCACTTAAAAATATTAAAAATAGCTCGTTTTTACCTAAAAGTCAAACCTGGAGGGTTTCTAGGGGGTTTTAGAGATCGTTGATTTTGAATATAATTTTCAAAAATAGAAATACAAAATGGCGGATCCAATACGGCGGCCGACAAAATTAAAAAATTGTCGATCAGGACTTCAATTTTAAAAGACTAGTTTCCAATAAAAGAGTTAGAACTCGAGCGATGGCCTTCAAGTTCGCCAGACTTATATCCAATTGATTTTTTTAAATAACGCAATAATAAATAGGAAAACTTTAAAACACCAGTTCCTGATAAAGTTACAACTCGAGCGATGGCCTCCAAGTTCACCAGATTTAAATCCAATTGATTTTTTTTAAATAACGCTGTCAAATGGGAAAACTCGAGCGATGGCCTCCAAATTCGCCAGATTTAAATCCATAGATTTTTTAAATAACACTGCCATATGTAGGAGAACATTAACACACCAGGATCTATCAAAAGAGTTAGAACTCGAGCGATGGTCTCCAAGTTCACCAGATTTAAATCCAATAGATTTTTTTTATAACGCTGTAATAGGATATTTTTTTAAACACCATTTTCCAACAAAAAGAGTTAGAGCTCGAGATATAGCCTCCAAGTTCGCCAGACTTAAATCCAATTGCTTGTTTTTCATGAAAATTAAACCTGGGGTGTTTTGAAGGAGTTTTTGGAGTCACTTATTTTGAATATTAAAAATTGCTTGTTTTATTTAAAAGTCAAACCTACGGGGTTTCTAAGGGGTTTTAGAGATCGTTGATTTTGAATAATTTTAAGAATTAGAAATACAAAATGGCGGATCCAATATGGCGGCCGACAAAATTTTAAAAATATTCAATCAGGACTTCAATTTTAAAACACCAGTTTTCAACAAAAGAGTTAGATTTCGAGCGATAGCCTCTAAGTTCACCAGACTTAAACCAATTGATTTTTTTTTAATAAAGCTGCAATAGAAAAACTTTAACAAGTGCCATGAGAAGTCAATAGGGACTCTTCTATACCGGCCGCGTGAGTCCGACGACGACTCACATGTTTGTTCGTCAGAAAATGTTGTGTAACGCCATGTAGGCTTCTTGAACCCATTTAAAATATACATGAGCGTTTTGATCTCGAGCAGAGGGTCTAGAACTTTGTAACCTGTGCTTCTGAGAGACCAACCCGGACTCACATGGTTCATAATATTCATAACAGGTTCGCTATTTTATAAGAAAAAGTGATCGAGCCATGGTCACTATTGTGGCACTTAACCTGTTAAAACAACAGTTTCCTACAAAAGAGTTAGAACTTGAGCGATAGCCTCCAAGTTCACCAGACATAATTCCAATTGATTTTTTTTAAAAAAGCTGCAATAAATAGAAAAACTTTAAGAGGTTAAGTGCCATGAGAAGTCAATGGGGACTCTCCTATAAAAATAATATATATGGGCCGCGTGAGTCCGACGTTGACTTACATGTTATAGTTCGTCAGAAAATGTGGTGTAACTCCATGTCAGCTTCTCGAATCCATTTAAAATACACAGGAACATTTTGGGCTCGGACAAAGGGTCTAGAAATCTGTGGCCTGTGCTTCTGAGAGGCCAACCTGGACTCACATGGCTCAAATTATTCATAACAGAATTTACTATTTTATATGAAAACGTGATCGATCGACCCATTGGGATCTTAAAATCTTTACTATTGCGGCACTTAACTCAGGCTATGGCCTCCAAGTTCGGCAGATTTAAACCTAATTGATTTTTTTAATAACGCTCTAATAAATAGGAAAACTTTAAAAAACCAGTATCAAACAAGAGTTAGAAATGCGCTCATTGGAGTTCAAGACCACCAAACTTGAACCATATTGAAATATTTTTTTCAGTTAATAGAGTAATAAATGAGAAAACTTTTGAGTTTCAAGTTTCAAGAAAAATTGTCGTGAATTCGAGAAACTGGCCTCCGAGATTGCCAGACTTAAATCCAATCGAAAAAATCAATTCTTTAATGTGACAATAAAAACCTCTAATATTGCCAGATTCGAATCCATTCTAACAAAATACTCCAGATGGTAGTTAGAGAACGACATTCTAGAACATAAAAGGTCCCACAAATCCACCAGATTTAAATCTGACAGAATTGAAGAAATGGCGACATAGAAGGACTAAACTGTAAACTTGTAGCAAGGTTTCAGCCCAAGATTGAAAGGCGTTAGAAACTATAAAACATTTTGTACTGTACTCGAGTTTAAAGAATAAATCAAAGGTCCCTGCGATCGCCAGATTTGAAGGCAATCGAATTCCTATTTATTATATCCGAATAAAGCCTATTTGATATTTCTATTTTTAAATTATCGCTAAATTAATAGTAATATGTACTTATTAATAATTTTTAGAGCAAGAACAAAACAAACGAAATTAAAAAAAAAACTATTAATCTCAAGAGAGGCTAAACAAGATATTAAAAAGCGATAGAAACTGAAATTCCACAATTTGAACAAATAATAAATTAAAAAAGTTCCTACGATTGCCGGATTTAAATCCAATCAAAAAACAGCTCAGAAACCGTCTTTAATATTTTAATTTTCAAAACCTCCTTAAAATAAATAGTAATATTCTGCAATTAAAAAATCAATTTCTCTATAATAAATTTCTGAGCTTCCAGAATTAAAAACATCATCCAACCATTTTTATGCGACGAATTAGCACCACTATTTTCTCGAAAAACTTAAAATCTATTTGTCCATCGCGCCGGATATCCTGCTCAGGAAGACAATGTGCATATCCAGCAACGTTTTCTGATCCAATTTCTCGCTTATAAACTTGAACATCTCTACCATACTCTCAGTTCTATCTTGCTCCGATTGTTGGTCCAGTTTCTTTTCGAAACAACCGACCAATTCGAGAGGCGTGGTGGTCTGTTGGCACCACAACGACTCGGAGATCGCTTTCGCTTCGTTCGAGCTGTACGATTGGATGACGCGTTGAAAGAAGACTTGTGGATCCTCTTGTTTGGCCTTCTTGAGGACTATTTTACCTAAATCTAAGGTGGTGAGATTGTTTAGATAGGGGGAAATGTCTTCTGGGGTTTCTATCAGAGGCAGCAAGCAATTTTCGATGATCTCTCCTTTCTGGAAGACTTTGTTTTTGATGCTTTCCTCGATGCCGACTTCCAGGTCTTCGATGCTGCGGCCTTTGAAGAATTTTTCTAGAGGGACGGTGTATTTGACGTAGTCCGCGATGGCTTGGTAGAAGTCGTGTTCTTTTTCGGCTTTGTGGAAATTGACGTGGACTCTTTTTAGAATCTCGGAAATGCCTTTCGAGTCGATGATGATTTTTAAGATGGACGTGTAGTCCTTCTCTTCCAGCGTGTCCAGCGCTACCGACGGGCATTGCGATTTGATCAAGGGGTAGAGTTTCGCTTTGTCCACGTGGGGCAGTAGAATTTTTGCCAGGTCATCTGTAGGGACTTTCTGTGGTATAAAAAAAAAGAAAAATTAGAGAAATTTTCGCCAATCGATTTTTATTTCAGCGATAACATCGATGAAACAATGACTAAATACGTTGTTCTCATAAAAATCGTCCCAATTTATTAAAATAAGTTAAAGAATAAAGAAAACTTCAATCGATAGCAAAAACACAGATTAAATAGAAAAACTGACATACTGAAATACTAGTTGACAGATTTACCTCACGAAGTGCTCTCTTTATCAACATCTTAAGCTCCAATTTAACGTCCAATTTCGGCATTTCTACGTCGCCGTTTCGTTTATCATCGTCCCTGCAATGCTCCAATTCCAATTTTGAAGAATCGCTTCCTCCTTTTTTCCTGTGGTAGTTTTCCAAAGCTTTGAAAACGTTCGCGATTACCGGTACTTTGAAAGGAAACCGGTTGACTTCGGCTTCGCTCAATTTGGCCAATTCGCCGATAGTTTTGATATTTCTTCCCCTAAAAAATATATTTAGAAGAGAGAGAATTGATATTTAGCGTTTGACTTACTTTAATTTGTTCATCAACGCCGGTACGAACATGGGACTGGTGATTCTCTTCACTATGATCAAAACGTCGTCTTTACAATCAACGAGTTTCGGGAAAATGGGTTTATTTTTGTGCAAAATCATGGGATTTACGACGGCCAAGCTGGGTTCCGTTTCGGGTAGCTCTGAATCGTGTTCTGTCGATGATTCCGAGCAAGGAGACTCTTCGGGATAGTCGAAAATGTCCTTGAGATGATCATCGGTGGACTTCCTTTCAGGAGTGCTATCGAAAAGACGTTTAGCTTCGAGGCTGGGCTGGTAATCGTCTTTGATGAAGATCTTCTTCGAAGTTAGACAGGGATCGCTGAAGTTGACGCGTTTTCTCTGCAACGAAACGTTCGTAAAGTAACGATAGGTTTTTGAATTTAAAATATACCAACCTTGGCGCACGGCGATATTCCCTCGCCATCACTACTGTCCGACAATTTTCTCTTGAGTATGGAACTGGCGGGAACCGCCAACGGACTGGGAATCTCTCTCGAAAACGTCAAAATGTCATTTTCGTTGAAATTCTCCATAGCATTTTGATGATCCAGTTGTTTCGCGCCCAAATTCACGAACAATTTTTTGATTCGCATAGCCGATGGTGAGGAAGTATTACCTAAGAAAATTAATATACAGAATGATCATAAACTCTTAATAAATAAATTGATTAAATGGTGGATACAAGGAATACCAGAATTTCTGGCTAATGGAAGATACAAGTAGGGCGAGGGGACTTAAAAAACCCCCAAAATCGTTTGTAAAAACTGCCGTCGCGAATAACTCCCCATGTTGGAAGACTAAATGATACATGGGTTAAGGTATTGCAAAGTGAGCCTCTGAGACACCGGGTACTGTTTTTTCCTAGCTACTCGTGGGACCTCAAATAGATTCTAAAAACAATAATCAACAAAGCAAAGCAACAGCGTCAACCTCAAAAGGGAAAACAATGAAGGCAACGCCCCTTATGAAGGGTGAAAAGCTAGCAAAGAAGCATAAAGTCATCGTCTCATCCATGGAAGAGGTAGACCAAAAGATCGAAAACAAAATAAACTCTGCCTGTCTAAGTGGACATTCGAGAACAAGGCTAGAACTCCTAAAAACTGGCCGTACTTACACAGCCGTTAAGAGGCAGGTGATTAGGGAAAATTTTCAAAAAGCACAAATAAGGTAACAAATGCTTCAGAGACTAGAATATCAAAAAACCAGGGCGCAAAGTAAGGCACAAAAGCTACAAAGCGCCGGCGTTCAACAGACGCGACACCGCCTTAACTGAAAAAGAGGAATAGGTTGTAGGAAGTCTCGTTCAAAGAGCTCAGTAAAGGTTGCAATGGTAGCAGTAGAGTATGCAGAGAACAAAATAAGTCCAGAGAGACTAGAAAAAGTCCAAGACTCGATCTCCAAGTCCCAAGATAAAATCCCCACAAATGAGGTTCACGAAGTGCAGTCACAAGCCAGGCTACCTGGTGGTGACTTGTGCAGACTGCACCAGTGTAGACTGGTTGCATTACATCGTCACAACCATCTAACCCTGGGTAGGAGCAACTCAGAAAGCGTTGAAGGCAAGTAATATCCTTAGGTCACTGTATAACATTTGTCCCTGACGAAAGAGAACAAAAACCCGAAAGAGAACAAAAACCCGAAAGGGAAAAAAGCCTTAAAGGGCTGAAAATAGCCAACCATGGGCTAAATACTGTAACGGTATATCTTTCATACCGTTATTTTTTGTGTCTATCAATCAAATTTCATTTTTGACAGCTACCTTCCTGAATTTTGTATTGTGAAGACGAATTCAGATTTAAAGAGATGATTATTTTGAACTTTTTGAGTTTTTTTTTTTGTTTTGAATGTATTGGTTCCTGTAAAATAGATATATTTTATTTTTAATATTTTTATTATTCAAAACGTTTGTCTCATCCGTCCTAACTATCCGATTATCCATTAAAAGGTCAAAATCTTTTTAGCTATAGCAACATACAATCGTTTTTTTATTGGCAGAAAGATTTGGATGATTGTTGTTTGTATTGGAAGATTAACTGTTTTATTGGAAGAATAAAGATTTAGATAATGGTTCTTTGATTGGAAGAATGATTAAGAGTTTGTTACCTAGTTTTATGAAGAAATATTTGCTTATTTGCATAGCTACAAGGATTTGCTGATTTGATAGTCGTTAACGTTTTGAGGACCTAAGTACCATACCTTCCATCGTAGATGAGACCTGTTCTACCCCTTTATGAAGCCCTACCGAGTACTATTTCAAAATAGATAACTTTAAAAAGTTATTTTATTATCAGAAACTCTTGTAGATTAGAATTTTTGTTTCCGTTTCATCAATTACGTTTATACGTAGAGATATGCGAATTTAAATACGGTGGCGTCCATTTCCTAATATCAGGGTAATTGAGTTATTATATCCTAGTGACCCATCCACGACCCTTTAATCACTTAAATTCTACAAACATTAGCAGTTACAATACAAACTTCTGGACTGTGTGGGGGTAAAATCCCATTAGGAAAAGGTCAAACGTGGGTTTTTTCGGTAAATCCCGAATCATCACATAACCGAGGGAGACTAAAATTCAGAGTATAAGAAGGACATGACCAAGAGCCTGCCGAAAATAAATAATAAATAACCCAGGAACATGCAAGTGAGAGGACACCAAAGAGTCCTCTATAGAGGAGGAAACTCAACTCTAGTAGAGGACGACGAGTCTTTCCAGTCGGATCAGTCCCGTCAAGAGGCACGAAGCCCAAGAGGAGACTGTACCTATGGAGATGGGAGAGGCCTCGAAGAAGGCAGATAAACTGCCCACTTAACGGAACTGAGCAGAACGATCAGCATTTTTCAGGTGGATCTCCATCATGCCAAGGCAACCATCGCTGCAGTATTTAGGAGGTTCGACATAGAGGGTCTAGATTAGGTTCTGTTTCAAGAACCCTGATTCCACGGCGAGAGAGTAGCACGTCTAAAAGACATCGCTCATGTATCTTTCAAAGTTGCATGTAACTTATGTTAAACGTTTCTTTGTTATATTTAAATATGATACTTCTCATACAGACCTTGTCTTTTACCCCACCTCAAATTTCAACCAAATACAGAAACCCCAGAGACGAACTACGAAAGGTATTCAATATCAGTTGGAGAGTATCGCAAAGAATGTATGGTGGAAACAACAGGTAAACGAGCAGTAGACCAAGTAACTAAGGCTATTATAAACGCTTACAAGGAAAACTGTCAAGAGAAAACAAGACAACAGAGTACAACAGTCTTGTGGAAGAAACATTTAGAAGACCTTAGATAGGAAGTGTGAATAATATTCAATAAGGCCAAATCAACCGAAGATTGGGCTCTATAACTTACGCATTACAACAAGGAGATAAGAAACGCTAACGTATATTCGTGGATGAAGTTCTGTGAGGAGTTATCTGAAACATTGACATGCAAACCAGGTAGGATTTCTCAAGAAAGATGATGAAATCTACAAAAACCTTCGTGGGAACGTTAACACTTTTCAGCCAACTCCTTTGGAATAAAGGATAGCTACTGAAATATCGAGGCCGAACAAAATTAGATGGGCTACAAACAAATTTCAGCCAATCAAATTTGTAACGGTATATCTTTCATATAGTTATTTTTCAAAAATCTTTATTGTCCCATCTCTTTCCTTGAAATGACAATTTTGTGTCTGTAAATCGAAACTTATTAAATTTATAGGGGAGAAGACGAATTTATATCAATCAAGGTGACCCGCTGATAAAAGTAATGCTTTTTGATTGTTAAAAACCATTTGATAAAAAAAATGGTAAATGTAAAATTTAATATTTTTTTGTTTTATACAGTGATTACAAAGATTACCCGAAATTTATCCGTTTAACTTTTTGAGGTTGTTTTTTGTGAAACGACATGCTTTGAATTAGTTAGTTTCTGTAAAGAAATAGATATATTATTTTGTTATTCAGAACGTTCGTCTCATCCGTCCTACCTATCCGATTTATCCATTAAAAGGTCGAAATCTTTTAGCTCGTCAACATTTGGATCTTTTTTTTACTTCTTAATATGAAGAATGTTTTGGATGATTTTTTCCTTAGTAATATGAAGAACGATTGAATTCTAGAAGGCTGAACTATTTGGAGGCTACAAGAATTTGCTGATTTGGATAGCTATTAACGTCTTGGGGACCCAAGAAAGGACAATAGGCTGTTTGGAGACTACAAATGTTTACTGATTTGGTTATTAGAGAAAACGACAGATGAGGCCTTTCATCATAGATGAGACCACTTTTGTCCCTTGATGAAGCCCTACTCATTAAGATAAGTCAATTTTACTTTGTTCCGAGTACTATTCAGAAATAAATAACTTTGAAAGTTATTTTATTATTAGAAACTCTTATAAAATAGAATTTGGTTTTTACTGTATCTTCTAAAGGCATATCCTTCATTTGCCTTAAATTTTAATAGTAATTAATTATGTTTATAGTTGAAGATATGCGAATTCAAATACGGTGGTGCCCAACTCTAATTTCAGGGTAACCGAGCTATTATATCCTAAAGCCAGATCCACGACCGTTAATAATGAGCTTAAATTACTTAAATTGTAAAACCAACCAACTGCAGTGTTTACACAAATCCCCAGGAGTAGATGGAATATATTCAAAAATTTAGAGAGGTAGTTTCATCATTCGAATTTTTATATTTTGAAACGACATATAAATTGTTAAAATTGCAATTTAACTTACCGGCTTTCCTTTTAATAAACGGCTTATTCGATATCGAATGTATAAGATTTTTAAGCTTGGACGATCTTTCCTGTATCGTCGAGGAATCTTTGAAGCCGCGAAACGAAGAGTTACTAAGCGACAAGGGTAAATGCCCGTTCTGCATTAGATTTTCATCGTTCTGACATGCCGGTTCCGGAAAATCGAAATGGAAGTCTCCCGAAGACTCAACGGTGACGCCTTCCGCTTCGCCGGCAACGCAAGCATCTAAAAATCAAACAATAGTCATGGATAATTCTAAGCTGGTACTTTTTTTAAACTGTGTATAGAAATCATTAAAATAAACAACTTTGTTAAATAATTTTTCGAAAAAAAATCAAAAATAAGAAACTTACAATTATTTATTCCAAAATGTATCCCATACGGTTCTGTCTAATTTACGTAATTTGTCGATAAAATTAAATGTTGTTTACATTCAGATTAACAAACTATTGAGATCAGACAACACCCGATTGAGTTACAATATCCAGGACACAGTAATAGTCCAATTAAATAGACCTTTAAATCAAAATTTTGGAGGAAATACAGGAATTTTTGAGTCACTTTAGAGTATTTGAAAACGATATGTAAAAAAATTTTGTTTTTTAGGCCCCGGTAAATGGCAAAAACAAGAAAACAAAATGTTTTTTTAAGGTTATTTAAAAACGGTAGGTGCTATAAAAAAAGTTTTTAATAAAAATTGTAAAGCATAAAGTTTTACATAAAAATGATATATACCATTTTTTGCAATTATTAAAACTAACAGAGTTAGGGTGTTTAGAAATTAAAAGGAGATATATATGAGCTGAAAATTCAATGAGTTTTTAATTTATTTTTATTTAGTTAGAAAAATATGAACTTTCTTTCCAGAAAAATAATTTTTTTCTTTGTTTTTTTTTTAAATATGACAATTTACAAATTTTCAATATGGTAAAATAAAAATTAAAGTGAACTTATTATATATATCTTGTCTGACATGAAAAATAAGAGTAACGAATTAATAAAAACGACATTGTGACAGTTTAGTCCCCACTTGAAGTTCCATTAAATAAATAAAAATAAATAAAAACAAATTAAAAAATATAACTAAATAAAAATGATTAAAAAAATAAAGGTAAAAACATAATTAAAATAGGTAAATAAAAATAAATATATAAATAAAATTACACAAAAATAAATAAAAAGATAAAGTAAAAGAAAATAAATTAAATAAAATTAAAATAAAAGAATAAATAAAAAACAAAAATAATTAAATTGAGTAAAAGTAAATTAAAATAAATAAAAATTAAAAAAATAAAATTAAACACAAAAAATAAATAAATTAAGTAAATAAGATTTCCAAAATCACAAAAAACATCGTACCGTCTGAACGGATGAATCGATTTCAATGAAATTTGGCTAGAAGTTGTAAACCCATAAGACGTCGATATCCGTTTGGCGGTTTCCATGACAGCCGCGAAAAACCACGAAAAATCGTGCAAAAATCAGCTTGTTCCATTTTTTGCGAGTTGGGTGCACTGTGGAAGGGAGTTTGTGTTACCGGTCGACGCTTTAGACATGTGAGGTGAGTATAGGAGAGTATCGCCTGTCACCTGTCACTTTTTATGACGTTTCGAAAATTTCGTTATCGTTTTTCAACGGTTTATTAAAAATAAATAATGTTTATATTATTTTTTAAAAACACCTCAATCCTCTCACGCACACAAATTTCTCCCTGGTCTTCATTTTTTCCGGGAAAATTTAGTATAATTTTATTTATTTTTAAATTATTTTTTTTTTTTAATTACTTTTACTTATTTTTAATATACTTTAATTATTTCAATATTTATTTATTTTTACTTACATTTTTTTAAAATAATTTATTTTTATTTATATTTAAATTTATTTTTATTTACTTTTATTCATTTTTAATTAATTTTATTTATTTCTATATTTATTTTTTACTTACATTTTTAAAAATAATCTATTTTTATATTTATTTTTTTATTAATTAATATAATTTATATTTTTTTCAGCTCATATATATCTCCTCTTAACTTCTAAATACCCTAACTCTGTTTGTTTTAATAATTGCAAAAACTGGTATATTTACCAGTTTTACATAAAAATTATATTTAATTTTTATGTAAAACTTTATGCTTTTCAATTTTTATTAAGAACTTTTTTTACAGCATCTACCGTTTTTAAATAACCTTAAAAAAACACTTTATTTTTTTGTTTTTCGCCTTTTGCCGGGACCTGAAAAATTTTTTTTACATATCGTTTTCAAATACTCTGAACTGACTTATGTCAAAAATTCCTGTATTTCCTCCAAAATTTTGATTTAAAGGGGTCTATTTGATTGGACTATAATTCATGATTCATACATAAGAAAATCAGAAGAAAAGATAAAAACATCATCTCATATTTTAATGCTCGGATTTATATTAAATTTTGATTTTTTTTAAAGTTGTTTATTTTAATGACATCTACACACAGTTAAAAAAGTATCCACTTAGAATTCACCCTGTATATTAACAACAGCAAATTCAGATATTCACCTTCGAAAGAATCGTCTTTATCGTCATCGTCGTTAACGAACTCCTGCACTTTAGCGACGAGTTCTTGTATCTCCTCCATCGGCTCGACTACGCCCATCTGCGCCAACTGTTCGAAATCGATTTGCACGCAATTTTCTTCGCTGGATGAATCTACGACCGGCTCCAGTTTCCCGAAATCGATGTGAATGGGTTTAGCTAGCGGTACAACCACGTCTACGTCGGAATCGCTCCGGGAAGATATCGGCGAGATGTCTACTGTGTTGTTCAATAATTCGGAGGTTCTATTGGGAGTGTCGACCGTAATCGGCGAAGAAGGAATACTTGAGGTCCTCAATGGCGTACTTGGTGCCGTATCAGTACTAGTAGTCGTCGCTAGGATGTCTTCGATGGAATTCAACGTAACCACTGGTTCTGATTCCTTATCCAATCCATTTCCTTCGCTTTCCACGCTGTCTTTAGGACGACAAATCGACATGGTGTCCATCTGGCACATTATCAGTTCGGATTCGGTTAATTGCGGTCTTTTGGGAGGATCCGGAGATTTAATAGACAGTTCTTTAATATCGACATTCGAAGGTTGGGTAAAAGTCTCTATCGTAGATATCGTGGATAACGTTTCTTCGGTGCCTGCGGAATTATCTTGCGTCAGAGTCGAGTCTTGGCTGTGACATACGTCCAGCTTCTTCTCCAACTCAATTTCGTCGTTTATTAGCTCGATTTTGTCAGACAGTTGCTCCAAGTAGTCTCGAATCAATGCTGTATCGTCTTCGAGTTTGGTTTCCTCTACAGTTTCTTCGATTCGTGAAGAACGTTTCTTAGACGAGTTTAATAGCGGTATAATCTCGACGAAGGATTCCTGCGAACTTTCTATTACATCTTCGCTTTGTTCTTCGGATTTTTTGCGCTTTTCTTCTTCAATTTCCGTAAAGTCTTGCGTTTGCAAAATGGTAGAGTCTTGAGTTTGCAAAATGGTAGAGTCTTGAGTTTGCAGAACGGTGGAGTCTGCGTCCAACAGCGTTTGTAAATTCTTCTGTCCTATACCCATATTGGGGTGTTTAGGAGTTTCCAGAGGCAATTCTTTCGGCGCTTCGGTTTCCATCGTTTTTTCGATTTCGTCTTGCGTTTTTCTTCGTTTTATTTTCTTTTTGTTGCCGATCGAGTTGTCCAGCTGATCGATTATTTTGGCGGATCTGGTTTTGTTGTCGAACTTTATCTTTATGTTTATGTTGTTAACGTTCGTCGGTTTTTTGTCGGTGATTTCGTTATTTGGCGTTTGGTCGTCGGGAACGGTTTTCTTGTCTGCGAGTTTGTTTCTATCCTTTTCCGGCGATTTCGGTTTAACTTCGATTACTGTATTTTGATTTTCTTCGAGAGCGGTTTTATTAGATTTAGACCGTCGTCTTTTTCTTGATGGCGACTCAGGCGTCAAGTTGGGATCTTCTGTAACTTCAGTTTGATTGTTCACCTTGATATCTTCGTCGGATGTATCAAGTTTCTTCTTCTTCGATCTTTTAACGCGTACTTCGCCTTCCAGTGCTTTTTTTGGAGTTTCGTTCAAGTTGGGATGGTCTTGATCTTCTGTAACTTCAGTTTGATTGTTCGTCTTGTTATCTTCGTCGGATGTATCAAGTTTTTTCTTCTTTGATCTCTTAACGCGTACTTCATCTTCCAGTGCTTTTTTTGGAGTGTCGTTTATTTCTTTGACCAAATCTTTTGATGGATCTTTTTTATCAGCTTTCTTCGTCTTAGGGGTTTTTCCGACAGGTACTTCAGATAGTTCTAACGGTATTTTTACAGCTTTATTCACTTCTTCAGGCGATTCTTTCAGTGCGTCTTGATTATCTGCTTTCTTCGTTTTAGAAGGTTTTCCAACGCGTGCATCAGACGGAATTTTGATTATTTCTTTAACAGAAACTTTCGGTTCATCTTGTTTTTCTGTCTTCTTCGCCTTGCTGGGTCTTCCAACTTGTACTTCGGATGGTACAATTGGTGTTTTGTTAATTTCTTTAGTGACCGCATCTTGATTTTCAACTTTCTTCGGCCTTCCTACTGGTTTTTTTGGCGAGTTTGGTACAGGTTTTTGGTTTTCCGCAACTGCTGACTGCTGGCTATCCGCTAACGGTTTGTTTTGAGTTTTTTCTTCGTCGTTCTTCTTATCGGCTTGGGCTTTCTTTAGTGCCTCTTCTTCTTCTTTCTTGGTAGGTTTCCTAACCCTAGTCCTACGGGGGGATTCGTAGAAGCTATCGGCGCCTACTATGTCCATCTTCAGTCTTTCGATTTCTCTGCGTTTTCGCTTTTCCACGGGATTTTCGTCGTCCAAACCGATCGAACCGATTGATTTTCTGCTTTGCGAAGATTTCGATGTGAAATCTTCTATGTTCGCAGCCTGTGAACTGCTGAATACCTCACTGGATATTGGTTCTTCGATCCTATTTGCCAAATTACTGAACAAACTGCCAGATTTCGAGTCGCTCGCCTTTTTATCGCCATTAGTATTCGTTTCTGGTACAACTTTATCGCGTCCTTCAACTTCTTGCGTGTTTTTCGACATCTGGGAAAAGAGATCAGCGTCGGATGCAATGGTTGGAACGTTGTTTAACACGATGGGTTCTTTAGAATTGGAATTGGACTTGGAACTGAACATATCCTGGCTCATACTTTGAGATAAATCTTGGTAAAGCGCTGGGATATCTTCGCGTCGTTTCTTCAGCATCTCCTTTTGGTGCTCGCTGAGCTTGTCCGGTCGCAATTTGACTTCCGTATCTATCGAGACGAAGTCCATAGAGTTCTCTTCGTTTACGGACTTGGTGGATCTGGTTTTGACCTCGACGACGTTGGCGCCTTTCTTCTTTTTGGTGGTAGGAGTGTTGTTCAATTGGCTGCCTTTAATTTTGAGCGGCGACATATTTTCTGGGTCCGTTCCGAATAGTTTTAAGGTAGATTTAAGTTTTGTAGCCTTGAGCGGACTGGTTGGAGAGTTCTTGCCCATATTTGCGATGCGTGCTGACCTACCGGAAGGTATAACGAACGTTTTCTTCTCTTCCTCGACACTCTTACCGCTATCGGTGAAGACGGACACGATTTTGAACAACTCTTTGGCTTTGTTGACGTTATTATTATCAATTTCTTTCTGGTAGAGCTCCAAAGCTAAATCTTTCAAATGCTTTGAGAAAACAGCGTTCAACTTCTCAGGGCACAGTTTGATGAACGCTACAAGAGGATCGATGAGTTTGAAGCCGGAATGTATCGACAGCGTGCGCTCTATGCAAGTGCATACGACTTTGACCAGTTCGTCTACGTCTTCAGATTTGTAGCAAGCCAAGGAAGGCTCGAAGTATTGCATAACTAGCGATGAAAGTTTGTTTTCGTCTTCGGTTTGTAAGTTCGGAAGTTCCAGTATTAAAGAGACGACTTCCATTAGTTTAGTGACTGGAATAACAATTTTGGTAATAAGTTAAAAGTGGTGACGGAAAACGCTAACAAAGCCTACACAAAATATAAAGCTAATGACATGACAATACAAACTAATTGAATTCCAATGAAATATTTTAGACTTTTTTTAAATTAATTCCGACTTTCTTGAATTAATTCACTTTTTTTGAATTAATTCCTACTTTTTGAATTCAGACTATTTGGAAACAATTCAGTCTTTTCGTAATAAATTCCGACTTTTTTGAATAATTCAGATTTTTTTAATTCAGACTTTCTTGAATTAATTCTGATTTTTTTTGAATTATTTTAGATTTTTTTTGGATTATTTTAGATTTTTTTGAATTAATTCTGACTTTTATTTAATTCACTTTTTAATTAATTCAAATCTTTTTGGATTAATTCCAACTTTATCCAATTAATTCAGACTTTTTTGAATTAATTCAGAGTTATTGAATTAATTCAGTTTTTTAATTAAATCAAACTTTTTTGAATTAACCCAGACTTTCTTGAATTAACTCAGACTTTCTTGAATTAATTCAGATTTTTTGTATTTCCGACTTTTTTAATTCGGTTTGTTTGTATTAATTCAGACTTTTTAGAATAAATTCAAACTTTTTTGAATTAATTTTAACTCTTTTAAATTATTTTTTAAAAATAATTTAGATTTCTTGGAATACATTCCGGTTTTTTTTAATTAATTCAGAATTTTTTGAAATAATTTAATACTTCTTCCAACTTTTTAATCAATTCAGACTTTTTGGAATAAATCCCGACTTTTTTTATTAATTCAAACTTTTCTTAATTCAAACTTTTTTAATTAATTCATATTTTTTTGAATTATTTCCGACATTTTTCAATTAATTCAGACTTATTTGAATTATTTCAGTTCTTTTTAATTAATTCCTACTTTTTTGAATAAATACAGACTTTTTTGAATTAATTCAGATTTTCTCGAATTAATTCCGATTTTTTGAATTACTTTAGACTTTTTTGAATTAATTCAAACTTTTTTGAATTAATTCAAACTTTTTGAATTATTTCCGACATTTTTCAATTAATTCAAACTTTTTTGAATTAATTCAGACTTTCTCGAATTAATCACGGTTTTTTGAATTATTTTAGACTTATTTTTTAATTAATTCCTACCTTTTTGAATGAATACAGACTTTTTAAATTAATGCAGACTTTCTCGAATTAATTACGATTTTTTTTTTGAATTATTTTATACTTTTTTTAATTAATTCCGACTTTTTTTGTAATAATTCCGACTTTCTTGAATTAATTCAGACTTTTTTTAATTAAATCAGACTTTTTTGAATAATTCATACTTTTTGAAATATTTCAAAGTTTTTGGAACAAATTGCGACTTTTTTTATTAATTCAAACTTTTTTGAATTAATTCAAACTTTTTGAATTATTTCCGACATTTTTCAATTAATTCAGACTTTTTTGAATTATTTCATTTTTTTTAATTAATTCCTACTTTTTTGAATGAATACAGACTTTTTTGAATCAATTCAAACTTTCTCGAATAAATTACGATTTTATTGAATTAATTCGGACTTTTTTAGAGTCAATTCAGACTTTCTTAACTAATTCTTACTTTTTTGAATTAATTCAGACTTTTTACAATAAATTCTGACTTTTTGAATTAATTCAGACTTTTAGGATAAACTCCGACTTTTTTTTGAATAATTCATACTTTTTTGAATTATTTCAAAGTTTTTGGAATAAATTTCGACTTTTTTTATTAATTCAAACTTTTTTGAATTAAATTCAAACTTTTTGAATTATTTTCGACATTTTTCAATTAATTCAGACTTTTTTGAATTATTTCAGTTTTGTTTTTAATTAATTCCTACTTTTTTGAATGAATACAGACTTTTTTGAATCGATTCAAACTTTCTCGAATTAATTACGATTTTTTGAATTATTTTAGACTTTTTTATAATAATTTCGACTTTATTGAATTAATTTGGACTTTTTTAAATTAATTCACTTTTTTTTTAATTAATTCAGACTTTTTGGAATAAATTCAAATTTTTAAAGTTAATTCAGACTTTTTTGAAATAATTAAGATTTTTCGGACTTTCCGACTTTTTTGAATTAATTTAGACTTTTTTAAATAATTCAAACTTTTTATTAATTAATTCGGCCTTTTTATTAATCAATTCAGACTTTTTTATTTAATTCAGATTTTTTGTATTAAGTTTGACTTTTTTTAATCAATTCAGACTTTTTTAATCAATTCAGACTTTTTTTAATTAATTCAGACTTTTTTGAATTAATTCATATTTATAAAACATGGAATACCGGAATAACAATTTTTGTAATAAGCTGAAAGTAGTGACGGAAAACGGTAACAAAGCCTACACAAAATATAAAGCTAATGATATGACAATACAAACTTACCGAATTCTAATGAAAATTTGGTTTCAAATTGAGAAATCACGTTTAAGAGGGATGTTATGTTCGGAGCTAAGAGCGGGTTGTTTTTGAACGATTTTTCTAAATCTTTCATGATGATCAGTTTTTTAGATTCATTGTCTATAGTTACTTTCCTGTAGAGTTTCATCCAATGCAAAACAATTTGCTAAAAAAAATATATACATAGTAACTTATAGAAGAATATGTAGTAAAAAAATGTATTACCTTTTTGCTGGTGTCTTCTAGTCGGTTCAAATTGTGACAAGGCCAAGCGAAAAATTCGTCGAATTTAGAAAATTCGCCGTATTTCGCGGGATCGCAACCGGTGGTGAGTTCGTTGGCCAATAGAAGCCAAGTTTTAGCGTAATTCACAATATTTTTATCTCCGATATTTTCAATTGAAAGACAGTCCATTATGGTTTGCATCATTTTTAATTTGTTCTCTTCCAAGAGCACCTTCGAAAATGATTGCGAAACGATTTGTTTGAAAGTATCATTAGGTCTAAAAAAATAAAGATTCGTCTAGCATATACGTATTCAATATAATATTTCTCCTTCCAAAATTCTTTGACAAGCTTCACCGCCAGAAATTCCTAGATAAGTATGTGAAACAGATGATCGAAATTGCAAAATATCGAAAAAAAAAAAAAAAAAATCATCGAATGTAATTTGATTGAAATAAAACTAACTGAAACAAGACGAACATTAATTATTAAATTATTATACTAGAATGCATGAAATCTTAAAAAAAAAAATTCTATACTTGTATTTTTTTCTGACATTCGGAGTATCGCAGGTATGTACGCATGAACGTAGATGATCATAACTTATCGGATGCAAATTTCATGTGTGTCCAAGTTGGTTTAGAAAATTTTTAATGGCTTCAGGCCACACTGGTTAGGTAAATTGATTAATTTTTTTTGTATTCATTTTAAATACATTTTTTTGCGAAGCAACCCCGCGAGACTGCAGACCGTGCAGGTTAGATAAATTCGTTTTTTTTAAACTTTAATTAGAATCCTTAATATTTAATAGAATAATTAATAGAATACTCAATAGCATACTTAATATAATACTTAGTCCGCGACCCGATAATCAACAGCTATGAAACCCGCCAAATATGGCCCATGCCCCGATCTTTTTTGAATGAATTATTCATTTTTATTAATTATTTCAAACTTTTTTTGAATTAATTTAAACTTTTTTTAATTAATTCAAAATTCCGAGCTTTTTGAATAAATTCAGGCTTTTTGGAATAAATTCCGACTTTTTTGATTAATTTAGACTTTTTTAAATTAATTCAGACTTTTTTGAATTCATTCAGATTGTATTAATTCGGAATTTCTTGAATGAATTCAGAATATTTTGAATGAATTCAGACCTTTTGGAATAAATTCAAACTTTTTTAAATTAATTCAAATTTTTTAGAATACATTCAGACTTTTTTTTATTAATTCGAACTTTTTGGAATACATTCAGACTTTTTTTAAATAGTACACACTTTTTGGAATTAATTCTGACTTTTTGATTAATTAAGACTGTTTGAATTAACACGAGACTTTTTTGAATGAATTGAGACTTTTTTGAATGTATTCAGACTTTTTTGAATTAATTCAGACTTTTTTTTAATTAATTCAGACCTTCTGGATAAAATTCGAAGTTTTTTAAATTAATTCGTACTTTTTGTACTAATTCAAACTTTTTTGAATTAATTCAGACTTTTTTGCGAAGCAACCCGCGAGGCTCCAGGCCGTGCAGGCTGGATAAATACGATGTTTTTTTTTTTAATTTTAATTAGAATACTTAATAGATTAATTAATAGAATACTTAATGTAATACTTAGTCTGCGACCTGATAATCGACAGCAATGGAACCCGCCAAGTTTGGCCCATGCCCCCATCGTTTTCAAATTAATTAATATTTATTATTTCAAATTGTTTTTAATTAATTCACACTTTTTTTGAATGAATTCAGACTGTTTTTAATTAATTCAACTTTTTTTAATTAGTTCACACTTTTTGGAATTAATTCTGACTTTTTTGAATTAATTCAGACTTTTTTGCGAGGCTCCAAGCCGTGCAGGTTTGATAAATACGCTAGGTTTTTTTTTTAAATTTTAATTAGAATACTTAATAGAATACTTAGTCCACGACCCGATAATCGACAGATATGGAACCCGCCGAGTATGGCCCATACCCCGATCTTTTTCGAATGAATTCATTTTTATTAATTATTTTAGACTGTTTTTAATTAATTCACACTTTTTTTGAATTAATTCAGACTTTTTCAATTTTTTTAATTAATTCAAAAATGTTTGGAATAAATTCCGTCTTTTTTGAATAAATTCAGGCTTTTTGGATTAAATTCCGACTTTTTAAAATTAATTCAGACTTTTTTGAATGAATTCAGATTGTTTGTATTAATTCAGATTGTTTGATTAATTCGGAATTTCTTGAAGTATTTTAAATGAATTCAGACCTTTTGGAATAAATTCAGACTTTTTTGAATTAATTCTGACTTTTTTAAATTAATTCAAACTTTTTAGAACACATTCCGACTTTTTTAATTAATCCAGACTTTTTTATTAATTTCTAATTTTTTTAAATTAATTCAAACTTTTTTGTAATAATTCAGACTTTTTGAAATAAATTTAGACTTTTTTAAATTAGTTCGCACTTTTTGGAATTAATTCTGACTTTGTTGATTAATTCAGACTTTTTTGAATTAATTAAGCCTTTTCTGAATTAATTCAGACTTTTTGGAATAAATTTCGACTTTTTTGATTTATTTCAGACTTTTTGGGATATATTCCAAATTTTTTGATTAATTCAAACTTTTTTAAAATTAATTCAGACTTAATTAAATTAATTCAAATTTTTGGAATAAATTCCGCCTTTTTTGAATTAGTTGATTTTTTGGAATAAATTTTGACTTTTTTGATACATTTAGAGTCTTTAGAATTAAATCAGACTTTTTTTAAATAATCTAGACTTTCTTGACTTAATTCCGATTTTTTGAATTATATCATACTTTTTTGAATTACATCATACTTTTTTTGAATTAATTCTAACTTTTTGAATTAATTCACGTTTTTTAATTAATTCAGACTGTTTTTAATTATTTCAGACTTTGGAAGAAAATCGACTTTTTTAAAATGAATTCAGACTTTTTTTGAAATAATTCAACTTTTTGGAATAAATTCCGACTTTTTTGAATTAGTTAACTTTTTTGGAATAAATTTTGACTTTTCAGATCCATTTAGAGTTTTTTGAATTAAGTGACTTTTTTAAAATAATCTAGACTTTCTTGAATTAATTCCGATTTTTTTGAATTATATCATACTTTTTTGAATTAATTCAGACGTTTTGGAATTAATTCAAACATTTTTGAATTAATTTCGACTTTTTTGAATTAATTCCGACTTTTTTTGAATTAATTCCGACATTTTGAGTTAATTCAGACTTTTTAATTGAATAGGTTTTTATTCAATAAAAAAAAATTGGAAAATATTCTTGCGTTTCAGTCTCTTTTCAGGAACAATCGCCTAAAAAAATGTTGTATGCACCACGGCCGCATTACATTTTTAGAACTAGAATCTGATTCGCCCAAAAAGATCCAAAAATTTTTGTTAAACAAACTAATTGATTATATTAAATTAAAAAAGATAAAAATAAAACAACTACTCCTTTGGCTAATAGCACAACAAGCAATGAAATATATAAAACTATTAACACCAGAAAATTATTTACACTTTGTAATTTTGATTAATAGAACGTTATTCGAGGAAAATTATTCGTTTTTATTAGGACTCATCAGCAAGATGTCAATACTTTATGACTTTATTTTCACACAACCTTTGTAACCCCCCGTTTCTTCACCCCTAAAATAAAAGAAAAGGGTTGGGATGGCGCCAGGCTGTTCTTCGAACAAGAGTTGCCCAGGCGCCAGTTTTGGTCACGCAGTCTATTCTGCGGCCTTGGGGTACACCTAGAGTACACCCTCAGCAGACTCAGTGGAGTCCAGGTACAAAAAAAAAATACAACAACTAGACGTTCACTGCTTCCTGACCTACAATAAAATAAAGGTAAAAATAAAATTTCGCACTGCACTTTTACCTGCTAATAACTAACCTCTGAAAACAAAAAAAAAAAGTAAAGGGGTATCTCAAAACTCAACTCAGGAATTAAAACCAAATATATATTTACAAATAAAATAAACAGGCATGGTTTTCCCAAACGGGACGGTACAAGATTTACTAACGGTAAATAAAATAAAACACCCCTTATATTAATATTTATTTACCAATACATGCGATATGATTAAAAGAAACCCCCAGGTATTGCGAATCGAATAGTCGACTTCTGGTGATATGAGGACAAAATAAAATAAATGGAACTTGGGTGAAATAACACCACCCGGTATATGTAACAACAGTAAAAAAAAATATAAACGGATCAAATGTGTTGTTGATAAAGTAAACGGTCTCGGTATCAACAGAAAAGTCCTATAACTGTAAAATTAGATATGAGTTATACTATATTCATGAGAAAAATAAAAATAATTTCCTTTAAAAAAAAAAATAAAACGGTGGACAGTACCACCCTTTGCACACATTCTTTCCTACTAAAGGAAGCAACCGGTTTTAGTAGTAAGAGAAAAATCCTACAACAGTAAAATTAAATATGATTTGAATTATAATTATTAGAAAAATAAAAATAATTTTCTCTAAAAAAAAAACGGTAGTTCTGGTTATTATTTTTCCTCTGACTTTTTTTTCTCTCGGTGAATTAATATTAGAAAAGAATAAACGGCGGTGAACTGTATCACTCTGCACTCATGAAAGGAAAAGAACTGATGCACTAGTAAGAATATATCAGTTAATATCCTCCCCGCAATTATTACTTTACACCAGGCACAATAGCCCCAAATAATAAATGAATTGAGTTCGACCAATACTTTAGGGAACAGTGACGGTTTTTTTTTTATTATTCGGTTTAAAGTCTCTCTTATGTAGATATCCGAGAGTCCATAGCTTCTACAAGAGAGAAACCCTTTCCACGAGCTGTTATAAAGACTAGGGGCTGAAACAGCTCTGATTATCGACGGGGGGGACCAAGCGAATACCGCTATCACCCCCTGGTTAACGCGAAAATGGATGAAGAGTGCCCCCGAATTTAAATTCAATTTACTTTATTACCCTGACAGGTACTAAGGAAATTAAAAGTATTCCTCTTTTAAACCCTTTTAACAATAGCTCAAAAAAAATTCTAGATTTCTTGTTTTGAAATAATCAGCGTTTTTATGTTAACATTAAAATGGTGAAAATTAACTAATTAACAAAAGCATAATTAATAAAAAAATAGTGATAAAATTTTTTTGTTTACGGATTATTGTTTATTCATATGTCTATTTAGTACCCAAATTTTTTTATTCCTTAATATTAATATTTAATCAGTTAAAATAATTTTTTTAGTTCATGTGTCAAATTGGGGCGATGCGCGCGGCAGCCGAACCACGCGTTTTTACCGTTATTTTCGCCGCTTAATTAAAATTATAAGGGTTGTTGGTACAGTTCCGGGAGGTAGGACTTTTTTTTAGGAAATTTCATGCTCTTTAAGGATCTTTTTTCAAATGTCGATTATTTCAAATAGTTTTTGAAATATTTCAAAAAAACCAACCCCTTATTTTTTATTTTACTTTATTGTTTATAACTTTTGCATTTTTTTTCAGCCCCTCTTGGAATTTTGATAGAATGTTCTAGATGCCATTCCGAATCGAATGAGCCCTAAATCATAATTTTCGGTGCTGGAGGACAGGTTTCGAGGGAAATGGCACTTGTGAACCAGACTATTTCAGCTAGGGCGGGTATTGCGCCAGTCCCGAACTGTTATGTCAATGTCACCTCTCATACCCGCCGTGTTCCATAGCCACTCGTTATACATTCACAGTCCGACAGTGTTTGATTTACATAATTCAGAAAATTTTATATTTATATAAAAAAATAATAATAATAATAATGTTTGATAAGGCAGGTAAAAAAATGTTTGTCGCGTTTCTGGGATATGCTTATAGGCTTTCAAACCTTCGTTACTTATCAAAAAATCCTGGTATTAATGAATATGGAATATTTTGATTAACACATTGCATACCAATGTGTCATCAAAGAAATAACGGTTTAAAAGTTATTTTACATGATGTGTTTTGTAAAGAAATAAACTATTTTAAACCCTTTTTTGTAATTATATTTAGACTTGACACAAATGTGTCTATTATGTTTCAATCAGAAACATATATACACTTTTTTCTACTATTTCAATTTGTTCCTGTTTTTTTGGGTGTAGCCATAAGTATTATATTATAATAAGTAAGAAATTATTATGCTATTAACGAAAACATAGCAAACTTTTATTTTTCTATTTTTTCTCGAATCAACATTTGCAGTATATTCGGCCACTGCTTTTCATGTATGTTATTAATAAAAAAATGTGAGTAAATATTTGGTAAAAGAAATTAAGAAGAATGTTGTTTAAAGGAGAATAAAATATTAATATAGAATTACTTACCCAGTATCTATCGATATAAAAATTGTAGTTAATTGTTTCAACATTATTGGGATCCTATTATCTAAATCATCATTTTCTAATGACATTAAACTTAAAAATATTAATCTAAGCAACTCTTCAAAGTACGGATGTTCCTTAGATTGCTGAAAATTAAAAAAAAAAATACAATTTGTATATAATCATTATGTTTGTTTGTAGATTCTTATGTGATACATTTGAACTACTGTAATTGAGTAATTCAAAATTGTCTGCTCTTTACTTACTTGTAAATATCTATCTAAAATATCAGCTACTAATAGAAAATATTGATCTCTTTCAGACTCCGGTGCGCACATTATCAGATTAAATAAGGATTTCCACATACATTTAATAACCTAAAAATAAAAAACAAATAAATAATATGTGTTCCGTGTTTTATATTTTGTTAGGAATTGAGTATTAGTAACTCAAGTTACTGGTACTCCGTATTGTTGATGTAATTTATTTTCGTTTTGTGTAACCTTGGTTTGAAAAAATGTTATTACTCTTTTATAATTGAATTGGCATTATAATTTTTGTGAATTGTCTATATATTTTTATATTAAATATAAGTACTCCTCAAGTCTTTTCCCTCATTATTTGATGTTCTTTGTCCACCTGGTAGGTGGGCGCAACATTTTTTTCCAATATATTTTTTGACATCCCCATTAGTCTTTTCATTCACAAGTTTACTTAGATATCCATTTTGTGGACGTACATTTCCAACTTACCTTCTTCCTTTTATTCTCCATGTTGTCATCTTTGAGAAGAGCACTGCATTCGGCCAACGAATTCAAAAGTAGTTTATAAAACTTCCTGATATTGTTTCCATTGACGAGAGGTTTATCGAAATAAATTTCCTCGAACACGCAATCGACGCCTTGGTCATGACTGTGTCCCAAGATTCCGATCAGCACTTTGGCGCTCTTGCTCCAAATTTGAGGAACGCTTTTGGCCTGGCCGGAGCGCGAATTATTGTCTTTCGAATCGCCGACGGGTCCGAAACAGAATTCCAGGAATTCCGGAAGGCAGAGTACGGCGTTCTGTTTGAGCTTTTCCAGTAGATGTACGAACACGTCGAACCGTTTGCAGATGACCACCTCTTGTTTGGAGAATTTGGCGCGCAACGGGGTGATCAGGAGTTTGATTTGCTTCGGGGTGCAAATGTGGTTGGGATCTAGGCTTGCGTTGTCGATTAATTCCTGGAAGAAACACGTATATAATTATCATAAATTACATAATAACATCATAAAAGATGCAATAACAGAATAGAAATGTCCGATAACAGTACCAAAGAGAACTGGAAAATTATGAACAAATTTAGAGGAAAACAAAATTCTTAAGGAACATCTGCTGACATTTCACCTAACCAATTCAAAGATTATTACAATTCCATTGCTGATGATCTAACTTCTGGCTTGGTTCCAAAACAAGACCCTTTAAAATATATGAGGGACATAAATATAGAGGAAGACTGTTATCTAAAGAATGCAATTATCTGAGAAATAAAACAAAAAAGCTACTGGAGAGGAAGGAATTTCACAAAAAAATATTTCAGACATTGCCCTTTACGCATTGGTTGAAGCAATTAATGTGTCATTTATGAATGGAAATTTTCCAACATGTTTGAAGAAAGCAATCGCCATACCCTCACACAAGAGTGGTAGTCTGGAAGACTCCTCTAACTTCAGACAGCTCCAAATTAAAACATGGAATTCCACGAAGATCTATTTTAGGACCAGCTCTTTTCTTGGTGGATATTAATGATTTAACAAAAGTTAAAATATCTGGAAACTTTATATTTAAGGATGATACCACAGTTCTTTAGAATGGAAAAGATGCTGAAAATCTTAAAACCTATATAGGTTAACGGGTGTGAAGTTATCCACATCCACAAATGTACACTGAGAAAAATATAACTCTATCGTAATAGTCATATAACTTGGTTCAAATTACCTGTAGAGGCTTTTCATTTGTAGATTTCAATTGGGGAGGTTTCAATACACAGCAACCATACCCGCAATTAACTTTTGCTTTGTCTCAGGGGGTGCAATTGGGGGTGAAATTTAAAAAAAAATCATAGAAGCCACAAATGGCTTTGTACACCTTTCTGCTTGGGATATGTTATGTAGTTTACTCTTTTCTTCATCCCTGATACCATGCTGGAGTTTGTCGAGCCGTCTGAGGGGGTGCAATTGGGGACGAAATTAAAAAAAAAACATGAAAGCCACAAATAGCTTTGTACACCTTTCTGCTTGAGATATGTTATGTAATTTTCTCTTTTTTTCATCCATGACAGAATGCTGGAGTTTGTCGAGCCGTCTGAGGGGGTGCAATTGGGGGTGAAATAAAAAAAATCATAGAAGCCACAAATGGCTTTGTACACCTTTTTACTTGAGATATGTTATGAAGATAGCTATTTTCTTTATGCCTGATACCATGCTGGAGTTTGTCGGGCCGTCTGAGGGGGGTGCAATTGGGGGTGAAATTAAACAAAAAATCATAGAAGCCACAACTGGCTTTGTACACCTTTCTGCTTGGGATATGTTATGTAGTTTGCCCCTTTCTTCGTTTCAGATACCATGCTGGAGTTTGTCGAGCCGTCTGAGGGGGTGCAATTGGGGATGAAATTAAAAAAAATATCACAGAAGCCACAAATGGCTTTGTACACCTTTTTACTTGAGATATGTTATGAAGATAGCTATTTTCTTTATGCCTGATATCATGCTGGAGTTTGTCGGGCCGTCTGAGGGGGTGCAATTGGGGGTGAAATTAAAAAAAAATCATAGAAGCCACAACTGGCTTTGTACACCTTTCTGCTTGGGATATGTTATGTAGTTTGCTCTTTTCTTCATCCCTGATAGCATGCTGGAGTTTGTCGAGCCGTCTAAGGGGGTGCAATTGGGGATGAAATTTAAAAAAAATCACAGAAGCCACAAATGGCTTTGTACACCTTTTTACTTGAGATATGTTATGAAGATAGCTATTTTCTTTATGCCTGATACCATGCTGGAGTTTGTCGAGCCGTCTGAGGGGGTGCAATTGGGGGTGAAATTAAACAAAAAATCATAGAAGCCACAACTGGCTTTGTACACCTTTCTGCTTGGGATATGTTATGTAGTTTGCTCTTTTCTTCATCCCTGATATCATGCTGGAGTTTGTCGAGCCGTCTGAGGGGGTGCAATTGGGGATGAAATTATAGGTTATCTTAAAACAATTATACTAGAACAAAATATTGGAGAAGGTGAGTCATATGCATGATCAACACTGTTGTCTATGAATGAAAATGAATGAAGGAAAGTAACAGAGTCAGCATAGGCGGCGAATTAAATACCAAATAATTATTTATTAGGTATTTGTTAGTAAACTTTATTAAATTTGTTTGTCAACATCTTTATTTAAACAAAGATGATGCGTTAAATATACGTTTTTGATAGTTTTCAAGAAATGAATATATTTATTCCCTAATGACTTCGTTATCTGTGTTTAATGGTTTTAAAAACACCGCTTTTAAAATAGAGTTATCTACGTTTTTGGCAATTTCGTTGATCATTACATTCATTTAGTTAGATAGACAAAAAAAGTCCGTCCATGTGTGGATCAGGTAAAGAGTCAAAACCGCTAAATCAGTTTCAACGCTACAATAGAGAGTAAAATTTTGTAAGATGATACCCTAATATTTGGAGGCGATGACAAATGAATGTGTTTCAAGTAAATAAACGACAGACGGGTTACAGGTTGAATATTGTCAGCACATGCACAAAGACAGTTGGAAACTAACTTTCGACGAAGTTAGATTTGTATCGCTTTAACTATTTACGATAATTATTTTATATTTTATAAACACTTTTTTGTATAAGTGTTCTTTTCTGATATATGAGTAGGTGTTCATGTTTGTGCCTTACAATTTGGTAGTGGTAGTGCATATTCGAGGAGTTATATTTATTGTGTAGTATATTAGGTAGGTACTTAAAAAGTTTATTAAATAGTAAAATATTGGTGTCTTTATAAATTTAATAAAAACAATTTAATAGTAGAATTATATTGTTACAATAGTAATGGATTCAGAGGCGGGTTCAAGTGAAACCCAATTACGTCGGCAAAAGCCCTTATCAAAGGATGAAAAGAACATTATATGGAAAGTGTATGATGGGCTGAAACAGACACTTCCTACAAATGAAGCTGTAAACCGCAGTTCTTTTTTAACTGGAGTATCTGTTTCAACATTTGAACGTATTGTACGCGAAAAGACAAAAAAGGCTCCTTAGAAGCCCCTAAAACGCATACCCGTGGTCGAAAATTGTTGAAATTGGACGATAACCAAAAACAAATCATTCGAAGAACTGTACATTTTTTTTTTTCGAAAACAAAGCCCAATACAAGTTTTTCTTACGAAATTAAGAGAAAACGAAGAAATTCCATTAATGAGCCGTGAAACTTTACGAAAAATTTTATGGGGCCTAAAATTTCGTTTTGTTAAACGGTGTAGGAAATCAATTTTAATTGAGAGGTCAGACAGTGTCCTGGCGACGGCGTTATTTACGAAATATTAGAGTTTAGAGCCGCTAAAAAAAAGATATACTATGTCGATGAAACGTGGGTGAATGCTGGACACACGGTATCTAAGATATGGCAGGATACTTCTGTAACTAGTCATCGCCAAGCTTTTATAGAGGGATTATCTACAGGTTTGAAAGCACCATCAGGTAAAGGACAGCACCTAATTGTTGTGGATTTTTGGAAAATAGCGCTCTTGTGTTTATATCGAAAAAACAGGAGACTACCACGAGGACATGAATGCGGAATGCTTTGAAAAATGGTTTACTGAAGTATTACAGCGTGTAGAACGAAATTCAGTTATTGTACTAGATAACGCTTCTTATCACAGTCGAGGAGTTAAACGCATTCCGATAATGTCCAATAGGAAAGCGAATATGCAAACCTGGCTGCGGGATAAAGCAATAACATTTACTGAGGAGATGCTTAAAGTGGAATTAATGGACCTAATAAATAAATTCAATATGTTGTCGACACAATGGCTCGTGATCGTGGTATTACGGTACTAAGACTCTCCCCTTAACACTGCGAATTCAATTCTATTGAACTAATTTGGGCGCAAGTGAAAGGGTTTGTAGCTCGAGAAAATAAAACTTTTATAATAGCCGACGTTCAAATTTTATTAAAAACCAGAATAGAACGTATAAAACCTGAAGATTTGCAGAATGCTATTTCCCATGTAATTAAGGAAGAAAATAATATGTGGCGCTTGGACGGTGTGATCGAAACGAACCTTTAGTCATAACTTTAAGTTCCGACGATAAAGACGATTCCAGTGATAGTTCTGCAGAATCAATGGATTACGAAACTTCATAGATTTAGAATTCAAGTAAGTGATACCAAGCTTAATTTACATATTTTTATAATAAACAAAATACAATTATAAACATAGATGAATTATTATAACAAAAATAGATAACCAACCTACTTTCATCTAGTAATATTCACAAATACCCATTTAATTTGCCAATATAGTATTTCTGCGACACTGGAAGAGTGCATTTTGATATGATAACGATACCTTTTGCTGTTTTAAGGCGCACCTTCTTCAATATTTTGTTCTAGTATAATACCCCATTTAATTTTCCAATAGTGTTTCTACGCCACTGGTATAATATTTACATATTTTAACAATAAACAAAACAAAATATAAACAAATAATTATTACTACAAAAACAGATAACCAACCTATTTTCATCTAATATTATTTACTATTACCGCATTTAATTTGCCAATAGTTTTTATACGCCACGGGCGTAATACATGTTGGCAATAGACATGCATTTATGACTAGTTGGCACGTGATACCGATAACTTCTGCAGTTTTAAGCGCGTGATTCCATTCATTATGCTCTGGTATAGTATGATTGTTGTACGTGAACAGGGAGTAATCACCTTCTTCAATATTTTGTCCTAGTATAAAGACTAGTGCGACTCTAATTGCTTGAGCTTTAACACAAAAAAAATGTAGTTTCATGTAAATTTGCTTTTAATGATCTTGTTCTCAGCGAACAGACCATTGATTATGTCCGTCCGTAGGTACATGTAATTTTGAAAATTAATATTTCCAATTTTAGAAGATTTAAAAACTAGATGCTTCAATGAACTAAACTTTAGCAATAATTTCGATGAATTGTACTTTCTACATTTAGCAATTTCGATCATATTGTTTCCAATCAAATATAATTCAATCATATGTTTTCGATCAATCAATCATATGTTTTCGATCAAAAGTCCGCGATCCGATAATCGATTTTTTGAATTATTTACGACTTTTTTGAATTAATTTATCATTTTTTAAATTAATTTCTCCTTTTTTGAATTAGAATGATAAATTATCCACATCTCAAGTGTTGTCAGTTTACTCAATTAAAGAATAAGACCTCAAAATCGATACTACACCAATTTTATTATAAAATTGATGGTGGTATTGATTTTGAGGTTTTATTCTTTATTTTTTAAATTAATTCAGATTTTTTTGAATTAACTCAGACTTTTTTGAAATAATTCTAACTTTGTTGAAATAATTCAGACTTTTTGAATTAATTCAGACTTTTTGAATTAATTCAGACTTTTTTGAATTATTTCCGACTTTTTTGAATTCATTCAAACTTTTTTGAATTCGTTCCAATTTTTTAAATTATTTTAGATTTTTTTGAATTAATTAAGATTTTTTGTATTAATTCCGACTTTCTTGAAATTATTTCCGACGTTTTTGAATTAATTCCGACTTTTTTGAATTAATTCATACTTTTCCGAATTAAATCAGACTTTTTGGAATATATTAAGACTTTTTAAAATTAGTTCATACTTTTTTAAAATAATTCATACTTTTCTGAATTAAATCAGACTTTTTTGAATATATTTCGACTTTTTAATTATTTCAGACCTTTTTGAATGATTAATTCAGACTTTTTTGAATTAATTCAGACTTTTTAAAATTAATTCAGACTTTTTTGAATTGATAATGTGTAACGCTTACTATAACCTACATTAGTTCTATAATTACAGTTTGGACCAATAGTTAGTAAACTTTTATTGTACTATTTATTGTAATGTGTCTCTTACTTTTTTGTATTGTAGTTTTTATGTGTCGACATTATGATGTACCCAATATTGCATGTTTTTAATATTAATTTTATTTATTTCTTTTTACTATAGATTTATTTATATTTAGATGCTTTTTCAATTGGTTTTCCCTGACAATAAAGTATATTTTGATTGATTGACTGAAACGTACCCGGGCATGTATGGGTATTAAAAAGTTAAATATAAATAAAAAACCAACATACTTAAGATTGCCAGAGAAGGCAGAAATATTATGTCAATAAATGACGTTTTAGTGCATGCTTAATTATTAGTAAGCACATATATATCGATATTTTATTAAATGTAAATTTTTAACAAACACAAGAGTTTTTTTTCTCACTCTAGCAAGATAAAAAAAGACAATAAGGAAGATACAAGAATATTTATCAAAAAATACTTTACTTACCTTCCAGCAATCGTATCCCTTAAGTCTTTGTTCATATGAAGAGTTCCTGAAAGCGTACTCAACGATTCTCAGCAGTCTATTTGTTAGATCCATCGATTCGTGAATTTTTTTGCCGCAAAATTTTACAAGGAAAATCCATAATTTGTGCCACTTTGCGTAGTTTGAGTCTCGTAATTGACTTATTGCTGGGATGTATCTGGATAATTAAAAAAGAAAACACTTTTTAAATCTTATTTGAAAGAATGTTAAAAAAAACAAGGGGTGCGAAACTGATCCTTGAAATACACCAACAGTATCTAATTTAATTTTAATCCACCAGAAATGAAAATACAATACTTACTTAGAGTAAACCTCCTTAAGGAATATTTGATACTCATTTTGAGATAAATCTGTAACAGGTACCAAAGGGCATAAAGTAAAAGCCACTTCGATAAGATTATCCCTCATTTGCGTCTCATGTTCCAGAGACATCATTGGCGAAACGACATTTTCCAGAAAAAAATCCTTGCAGACGTCATTGGGTATTTCATTTGTACAAATTTCTTTCATAATACGATTTAACTACAAATAAAATTTGGAAAAATCAGTTCAACTTAATATTAAACAAAGGAAAAGTCTTAACAACTAAAAAAAAAATTGTTAATTGACCATAATCATAAATTTAATTGGCTAAAAATAGGTAATTAAGATGCAAATGGATAAAATGCAGATAACTTCAAGATGTTTAGAAGTTTATTTGGCCCCAGCTAAGGATAACTGGCTGCAGATTTCACATCAGCCAAGCTTGGCTGAGAAAAATACAAAATATTGGACTCAAAAGAGAATATTCCGACAAGGACAGTGAGTTGGGGAAATGATTACGCTGGTCTTTCAGCCTCATATATTTAGACAGTGCTGATGTTTCGGAATGCTTCGTTGAAGAATTGATTGCTGAAGCTCCCAACGATACCCGTATAACGTCCTACTGCGATTATTTAACGGATAATTACATTTCTGAATCTGCGAGATTTCCTCCAGAAATGTGGGCTTCATGTAGCCCAAGCCGAGAACGGACAACCAACGCCTGTGAATCTTTTCATAGCCATTTTAATAAAAGATTTTATTCTCCGCATCCTAATATTTTTGTATTTTTAAATGAGTTAAAAAATGTTCAAGTAGGAACTTACGTACAATTAAATAGCTTACATTTACAAAAAAAATTAATTATGAAAGAAAATTAAAATATGTAACAAATTTGATAGGTAAATTTAAAAGTAAAGAAATATCTAGAATAGAATTTGTAAAAGCTATATGTTATAAGGCATGTTCAGATTAAATATATGTACATTTTTAATACAATAAATATAAATTAAAATAAACAATATTTAGTTTTTTTAGTATAACTATTTCAGTGTAGGAAGTACCCACTTTCTATTATCTTAATTATTAAAAATTAATAAATTTTCTGTTGAAGTAAATAAACCATCGGTTTACTATAGTTTTCAGCTTTGCGCGCAATCACAGTATCCTTTTTAAAGCCTTGCGCACAATTGCACTATGGGCTTAGGACACCCTGTTGAGAACCCTGACCACTGCGCGCAATTACAGTATGCCCAATAAAATCAAAGTTGGTATAAATTTTAAAGCTAAATGTAATGACCATAATCAATAATGTCTATAAAGCCCGTCTACAACGACATAAGCCGGCAGAGCGGCTTATGCTATATTTTTTGCTATTTTTTTTTACTAAATTTTTTATTTTTTTGCTCGTGTCATTACCGAGAAATAGGATACGATTGTTTAATAACGAAGCTTCCGTGGCAAGTTCTGTATCTTTGGTGCTATAAGAGATCAGAATCAAGTTTATGGTATATTTGTTTACTAATTTTTTGCTTTAGAAAATATATCAATTTATTTTCTTGCTCTTTTGGTTTGTAGGAAACATTGGTTATGTTAGCTAGATATATAAGCTCGAGTGGCAAGTGCTGTATCTTTGTTTCTATGAAATATATCAAAATCGGGCTTGCAGTATATTTTTTTGCTAATTTTATGCTCAAGAAATATATTATCGATTTTTTCTCTCATATGGTTCTAAAAAACAATGGCTATGCAAATACCAAAGAAGGCAGCAGAGCACTTAGGGAATTTTGACTTAAAACCTATGCCATATTTAGGCTATTTTTAAAATAATAATAAATCTTTATTTGTCCTTTTAGATCATAGTACATGATAAGTCAGGTATATAAATAAAACTATAACTAAAACAAATCCGGTATAAACAACATAGCATTATTGAGGTAGGTACTCATCTATGCTGTACTCAGAATTATCTATTAAATAGTTTTTTAATTTGGTTTTAAAAATATTATAGGGGATGGTTGTTTTAATCAAGGATGGAAGATGATTAAAAAGAGTAAGTCCAGAGTAGTATGGGCTGAGTTCAAATAGAGCTGATGAATGTTTTGGAATACGAATTGCTTCATTGTTTCGAGTGGGGGTAATTATGATTATCTTGATTTTAGAAAATAAATGATTTTTTTTAACATACAGTATGGTTTTAAAAATGTATATGGCTGGAAATGTGAGTATATTATATTTTTTAAAATGATCCCTACATGTAGTTCTTCTTTCTAAATTGAAAATTAGTCTAATACTTCTTTTTTGATTAATAAAAACTCTTTAAGCATTTGTACAGTTTCCCCACAGGATAACGTTATAAGAGAGATAAGAATAAACAAGAGCATAGTACACATGAAGAAGTTGATTAGAAAATATTTTTTAGCTGTAGGATTGCATAGTAAGTGCTGTTTAACTTTTTACAGATAAAATTAACATTTGAATCCCAATTCAGATTGCTGTCAATCATAATTCATAGGAACTTAATTATATGAGAGAAAGAAATGTCCTCCAATAAAACTTTTACACATATCAGTTATCCTATTTCTAGAAAAAAATAGCATAACAACAGTTTTGCTAGAATTTAATATTAAGGAATTTCTTTTGCACCATACAGTAAATTGATATGCTAAATTATTAAGTTTTAAGAGAAACTCCGCAGGAGATTCAGCATCAGCTGCCAATGTGGTATATCATCAGCATACATAACAGTATAATTTTCCTCATGTTAAGATATGAAGATAGCCACGTTAGAAAATCCCCTCTAAAACCCAAAGCAAATAATTTATTTTCAATTATATTCAGATCAATAGAGCCAAAAGCTTTGGAGAGGTCAAAAATGTTTGGTTTCCTTTCTTGAAGATTGGTGTTACTACCCCATTTTTAGATCTGCTGGAAATTTACCCAAGGCAATTGATGTGTTTATTATATGTGCCAGAGCATGAGTAATATGTGGACAGATTGTTTTTATAACTTTCGTTGAAATACTGTCAATACCAAAAGAGTTGGTGTTTTTTAGTGAAGAAATGGCTTCAACAACATCTTGAGCACTAACACTGATAAAATGGAATGTATTTTGGACATACATGGTGGTATAATCATTGAATACTAAATTAGTAATATGATTATTAATAGCACTGCTAGCGCAGGATGAGAAATAATCCACAATTGTATTTGCAATATCAGTTTTCCCAGATATAATTTGATTAGCAACTTCAAGAGATTCCACATTATGTAAAATTCTTTTTCCTGTTTGGATATTTACAGTATTCCAGTGATTTTTTGCTTCTGACAAATATTTTTATTTTTTAAATTATCTTGAAAGAATGCCTTTTTAGTTTGATTTATTTTTATTTTTTTTTTATTTTTTAAATTATTGAGTTTTTTTTTTATTTAGTTTTTTATTTTTTAAATTATCTTGAAAGAATGCCCTTTTAGTTTGATTTATTTTTTCAGCATATTTTTTCTTTTTACTTTCCTATCTGTATACAGATATATAAGGAAAGTATAGGAATCATGATTTTTTTCGACTTCGAGTTTTCGACGGATTTTTACGTTTTGAAGTCCCCTGAATCAGTTTTGACTATTTTCGCGATGATGTCTGTGTGTGTGTGTGCCCGTGTCCACCATAACTCATGAACCGATACACAGAAAAACACTTAGGCTTTGTTCCAGCGTCCAATGAACTGATTAGATTTTAGGCAGAGTCGGAACATCTGGGGGGGGTACTTCATAGGTGGTCATTTTTATATTTTATAGAATATATCTGTTATTTACATTTGGAGAAGAAAATTCTTCAAATAAAAGTTACTTCTTATATTATTATCTAAAATTTTTGTTCTATACAAAATTTTTCTAAAATGGTCCATATTCGAGAAATTTGACAAAAAGTAAAAAAATATTTTTTTATAAAAATTGTTCAAACAAAAGTTGTTTGTAATATAATTCTCTGTAATTTTTATTCTATACATAATTTCACTAAAATGGACCGTATTCGAGATATTTGAGAAAATGTGTAAATTTCGAAATTTGAAGAAAACTCAAGAAACGGATAAAGAAAAAACATTAAATTTTAAACTTAAGTTTTATTTCGACCTGACGTGAAATGATTAGATTTTGGACAAAGTCGGAACATCTAGGGGGTATTTTATGGGAGGCCGTTTTTATATTTTATGGAATATATCTGTTATTTATGTTTGGAGAAAAAAATTGTTCAAATAAAAGTTACTTCTAATATTATTATCTATAATTTTTGCTTTATGTCAAAATTTCCTGAAATGGTCCGTATTCGAGAAATTTGACAAAATGTGCAAAATTTGGATTATGAAAATTGTTGAACTAAAAGTTGTTTGCGATATCAATCTCTATAATTTTTGTTTATACATGATTTTTCTAAAGTGGACCGTAATGGAAAAATTGTAGGAAAAGTGCTAAATTTTAATTTTTCAGTACTTTGGTTTTCAATGAATATCTATAGAAAAATGTTTCAAGGTAGATGTATGTGGAAAATGTATATATTTAGTTTATCCTCTAAACATTTTTAGAGGTGCTGCAATAGGTTGTACAAAATAACCTGTAAAAACTAGATAGGAAAGTCATGTGTTTTAATTTATAATTTGATATAATGTCAGCATCAGAAGAAATAGCACTTTTAAATCATCTCCCATCCATAGAATCTCCTCATTTATCCATTTATTAGAGGAGCCCTTGTCATTAATACTCTTTGTTAAAGTTTAAATAATAAAGAATAATATGTAGAAAGTTTATAAAAGTTTGATCAATATCATTAGGTGATTCATAAATTATTTTGAAATCCTCCTTAGCCAATGACAGGTTATGCAGGTTGGCATAAGAAAGGTTTCTAAATTATGTTTTTTTCTTGTTATTCACAATGTGCTCTTGCAAAATATGATCAAACTTTATAAAAAGACCAAAATGATCGCCGAGATTTAAATACACAACTGATTCCTGACAAGAGAAGGAAAAATTAGCCAGGAAGTAGTCAATTTTGGATCTAGTAATGCGATCATTTTTGTCAATAGCTACTCTATTGTGGGTTCCATATTTTGACAACACAAGTTAAAACTTTCAATAAAATCAGACAATTGTAATTTATCACAATAGTTAGTTATAAAATTAATATTAAAATCTCCACAAACTATTAAAATATCATTGGGATTTGAGATATTATTTAAAACACTAGAAAGTTTGCTTAGAAACAATTCTACATCTCCATTAGGTGATTTGTAAAAATTAAATAAAACTTTACATTATTCAAAATAAATGAAATGCCACTACATTCAAAATGTTCTTCTTCAGAGATACTTTTTAATGAATTGATTTTCTTGACTGGCAATGAATGTTTAAACATATATAATAGTTCCTCCACGAATCTTAACAGTCCTATAAAAATAGTCACCAATTATGTAGCCTCCAAAATTAATAGAAGAACCTGCATCTTCTGAACATCATCATTCAGATACACACAATATGTCTGGCTTATCACAGTTTAGGATTAATTCTATTTGGTTTGTTTTGTTAATAATGGACTGACTGACTATTCACTATAATCATTTTTATTTTTAATTCATTGAATTTCAGAAGAGCTGACGAGTTTTTCAAGTTTACTATATGAATATTATTTTTGGATTTGTTACTGGTACTTATATTTGACATTATATATTCTGAGTTTTTTCTTGGTGTCAGTTTAGTTTATACTTCAACAAAATAAAGTCTTGACAGTATTTTCTTAGGCAACTCATTTGTAGTATATTTAAACATATTTTATTTAATAAAAAATAACTTTTATCCAGTAAGCAGACCATACTTTCCAGGTAATTTAGTGAATGCATTTAACACCACTTAATATAAAACTGGAGATACAATTCTCTTTACCTCTAAAGTAGGATTACCAGACATCAAGAAAAGTCCAGAATTTTATAGTTTTGTCCAGAAATCATCGAAATTGTATATTTAAAATCCCATATAAATAATTCTTTTGGCCGTTAAAATTAAAGATGTTTTAATAAAATGTTTATTGTTTTATAAGTTGGTGTTTTATTATTTTGTCGGATTTTTAAATGTCCAGAATTTCATAGTTGTCAGGAAATTATATTGTTGAATGTGGCACCCCTACTCTAAAGTACCTTTATATACATTTTTAATACTAAATATAATGTTAACATCTCTAAAAGTCCCATTTAGTTTTTTACTATCTATTTAACGATTTCTTTATTTCTATTTTATTGTGAAGATTTTGTATGTATGTGTAATATCTTTTTATTAGTTTTAAATTTAATAGTTTTAATCTTATTTCAGTACCTACATGTATTATTTTCAAGTCTGTATGAGTATAAATTCTGGTTTAGGTAGGTACCTATAACTAGAAAGTTTTTTTACAAGCATTTTTAAAAATCCGAATTAAAATTTGAAATCAAATGTAACAAAACAAATATGAGGTAAAAATAAATTATATTTCCTACTGAATACATAAAATCATCTATATATGGATATCCATAAACAAACACAGGTCAGTAGGTGTATTTAAATGCCAAATTATTTATTAAAATCAAACTTAATAGTTTACCGTGTCTATAGATTCAACTTTCCATCGAATCAAAAGGTTTACAAAGTCTTCCTTCTTCAAAATAGTATCTAATAGCGTTTTTATAATGCATTTTTCTGTAACAGATCCCACCGAAACACTTTGAGGATCACTTAAAAACTTGACGATTTCTTTGTCGTCCATTTCTAAAAAGAGAATTACGAAACTGGTTCTGTATAATTTACAAAAAAGTTTTACCTATGAAAGTGCACATTTTTCAGGGTGTAAAAACATTCAAACGAAACAGAACATTGTTTTCCTATGTAGAAGTCATTTTTTGTGATTATGGATAATATACGCGCGAAACGCTTGGTATTTATTAAATGACAGACTGAAAACAGAAATTTGACAAAAGTATTTTATAGGTTAATTTAAAAATCGACAATTAACTAACAGATTCCTGTCTTATCGATGCTACTCAGTTTCGGTATTGTCGACAAGATGTCACTTAATACGATTTTATTTGAATTATATATTTTTTAAATATTTTGAGCGTAAAAGAATTAAATTATATCATTCAGAATTTTACGTTTTTATAACGATTTGAAAGTTGCCCAGTAGTAAGTATTACAAAATTACTTCTAAAAAATTATTCAAATGTTTCAATCTAGAGGGCAGTGAAAACGTAGAACTAGCGTTGCATAGCCATTTTGAAAATTTTGATTTTGTGATTTATGGTGCAAAAATATTGTATATTTACTGAGTTTCTATTTATTCATGTGAGTATTTTACAATCTCTGTGATATAAAACAATGCTAATTAATAAAATATATTACTTCTTGTGACATTGAGTTATAGAAAAACTCTTAGAGGTACCCTATTAGACCACATACTTTACCAAATAAGATGAAAGTAAAAAATTAATTGCGTTACTTATATCTATTTTAGATTACTATATTCATCGTAAACCTAGCTCATCAATATGCCCCATAAGTTATAATAAATTAAATAGGTAATAATTCTAATATAGAGGCATACTTGTAATAGTCAGAGACGGCTTCAGTAATTTTGCTATACCAGGTACTCAAAATTTACAAAAATATTTTGTTTCAGATTCGTTTCACGCATTGCGTATGGTTTGCAAGGCTAGTAGTAATGCTTGTCATGTATAAGAGGTTCTCTGGGTACAATAAAGACGTTAGTACCAAGAATTTCGATTCTTCGGTACTAGTGGACAAGGCTGTGGGGTTAGTTTTGCAAACAGGCTCCAAAATTCGTATTTTTTCGAAATTACAGATTTTGAAGAGATTGTGAGTGGAACTTTAGTCCCCAGAAACACGGGTACAGGCCGGAGGTTCCATTAATAATGGGCCAAGGCTGTACCATAGAGAACAGAGAAAATGTTGGTGGATGTTGGTGTTTGGACCGCGCCGCGTCGCGATTGTTATGGTATTCATGCAGAGCCGTTAAACGAGTCTACTTATTGCATAAGAAAGGTAAGTGTTTTTAAAATTATTGAAATTAATTTTGATATCAATATAAACAGTAAATCGCATACCTGTTGTACAGCAAATATTTTGTTCAATCTACTCGAGAATATTTTGGCTAATATTGTTTATCGTACACTAGACATAGGCGGGTGAAATAAAAATTAAACGAAGGTATGAAAATATTTTTATTATTGTTGAATAAAATACGAAATTTTAATACAAAAATAGTATTGCAATGTGGGAAGTAATTAATTTTGAAACGCATTAATTACGGAGTGTGTTCTGCAATATATATTTTTTTCTACGACCCACTAAATAAAATTAAAATATTTAAAAAATAATTTAGAGATTATTAAAGATAAAATAATTCTTTTAAAAATAATTAACACAAATATTGAAATGTATAATTTTTAATAAGTTATAAAATAAGTAAAATAAACGAAAAAAAAAAAAATCACCGACTCAAAATTTTTCAGGACTAAATATTTATTTACTAAAATTTTTATTTATATTTTATTTCAATAACTATGTATACTGCCTATTATTTTAACAGAATTGTCACTAATTTATTATTTAAAAAAGAGTAATGATCCAGATAACAAATATGAGCTGTGAATGGTGTATTTCATATCCTTAATATATTCTTAATATGTCCTGAATATATTCTTAATATATTCTTAATATATCCTTAATATATCCTTAATATATCCTTAATATATCCTTAATATATCCTTAATATATCCTTATATCCTTAATATATTCTTAATATATATTATGATGGTGGGTGAGGTTTTCCGGGTTTTCCTCACCTGTAAGTTAAATGGCACCATCAATCATCTTTAAGTCGCCCCGGAGCGCCACCGCAAATAATAATAAAAGCCGTCCCTTCCCTGCACAAGTCGTTCAGTCGACCAGGGGTTGAAATTTACTCGTAAGGGGGTGAATTAGGGAAAGTATTATTATTTATATCCTTAATATATCCTTAAGATATCCTTAATAAACACATTGAATGATACCTGTTTCGCCTTAGGTTACTATACCGACACTATAGCGGCATGTGCCGTAAAGTAGATAGTGTTCTGGTGGACACTGACGTGATATGACGCATTTGCTTTATGGTGCTTTTATACGAGCTAGCGAAAGCGTGTTTTTTGAGGTCATACATGATTTTCTCGTGTACCATTTTACAATAGGCCTATGAAGGCAAATCCTTGTCCGGTGTGCTTAATATATCCTCATTATATCCTTAATACATCTTTAATATATCTTTAATATAGCCTTAAAATATCAAAGCATTGAAGGGTACCTGTTTTTCTCTTATATTACTATACCGGCACTATATAGCGGCATTTGCATCATAACACTGACGTGATATGATGCATTTGCTTCATGGTACCTTTATATCAGCTAGCGCAAAGCGTGTTTTTTGAGGTCATACCTGATTTTCTCATGCGCCTTTTTACAATATACCGCGGGTATCCTTAAGATATACTCAATATACTTTAAAATATTCTTACTATATCCTTACTATATCCTTACTATATCCTTACTATATCCTTACTATATCCTTACTATATCCTTACTATATCCTTACTATATCCTTACTATATCCTTACTATATCCTTACTATATCCTTACTATATCCTTACTATATCCTTACAATATCCTTACTATATCCTTACTATATCCTTACTATATCCTTACTATATCCTTACTATGTCCTTAATATATCCTTACTATATCCTTTCTATATCCTTACTATATCCTTACTATATCCTTACTATATTCTTACTATATCCTTACTATATCCTTACTATATCCTTACTATATCCTTATTATATCCTTACTATATCCTTACTATATCCTTACTATATCCTTACTATATCCTTACTATATCCTTACTATATCCTTACTATATCCTCAATATCGGGCACGGTGGTGTAGCGGTCTATCGCGCTTATATTCATTTATAGGCAAGTTTATGAGTCTGAGACCGCTGGGTTTCGAATCCCAGACCAGACCATGTGGATTTTTAATTAAATTGCATGGTTCGGTTTAGGATTTGATGTGTGGCGTATTAATAGAAATTCAATTTCTGTTGATATGACATGCAGATTAAAAAAATTCGCCATACATTACCGTCTCGATGATGGTGGGTGAGGTTTTCCGGGTTTTCCTCACCTGTAAGTCAAATGGCACCATCAATCATCTTTAAGTCGCCCCGGAGCGCCACGGCAAATAATAATAATAGCCGTCCCTTTCCCCGGACAAGCTCAGCTTTTGGGGTTAAAATTCACTCGTAAGGGGGTGAATTAGGGAGAGTATTATTATTATTATTATTATTATAATATATCCTTAATATATCCTTAGTATATACTGCCTATTATTTTGACAGAATTGTGACTAATTTATTCTTTAAAAAATAATAATGATTTAGTATGAATGGCGAATTTCATATCCTTAATATTTCCTTAACATTTCCTTAATATTTCCTTAATATATTCTTAATTTATCCTTAATATATCCTCAATATATCATTACTAATAGTAATTATATATTGAGGATACATTAAGGATATAGTAATTTAATATATCCTTAATATTTCCCTAATATATCATTAATATATCCTTAATATATCCTTAATATATTCTTAATATATTTTTAATACATTCTTAATATATCTATTCAGTAAAGTAGACTGATAGTGAATAGGTACTTGTAGTTTGTGAACAAACTGGATATTATACATGTAGGTCAAAATGTGGATGTACATAACAAATTAAAAATGTTATACAGGGTATTGCAGAATGTTGTGAAGAAAATTTAATGGCACATTTTACATCTAAAACAATAAAAAAAAATCAATCATATAAACATGAGTACGGAAATATTTCGTTTTCATGATACGGGGTGTTTAAACTTTTACGTCTTTAATAGTTTATCTTACGTTTATATATAATCCGTTGAGATATGTGAAATGGGTTGTGGTATACCCAAATGTATAGTGGAAAGTCACATTTACATGTACAAAGATGTTTTTAAAGCACTTACATCAGTAGAGTTCGTACCGGAAAATCTTTATGTTTAACGAAAAAACTGTACGTCACTGGTTTTTGATAGCATTTCCGGACCCATGTTTATATGACCTTTTTTTCATATATTGAGATATACAATCTGCCATTAAATTTACTTCACAACATTCTGTAATATCCTGTATATTCATGCTCCGAATAAAATTAAAAAAAAAACAATTTTTTTTCTCTCCTAGATGTTGAAAAGATCAACCACAGGAAAAAATAAGATTGTAACTCCTTAACTTGGATTTCGACGTAACGCCGCTGACGCATAAAAGCTAAAACGGCAGGCAGGCAGTCAATGCAATTAAATAACTTAAAGAAAATCAATTTAGAAAGAATAAAAACGTTCCGACATACACAGATGTGTACAAATCTAGATTAGAGTCTATCTTTTTCTAAGGTCCCGGTCGGAGAGCGCACGCGCAAAACTTCAATCGTTTACCAAAGTTTGCAAACTTTTTCCAGCATCAGGAAACATCAAAGTTTAGAACTAAGAATTCTGACTTACGCATTGTAATGTAGGAAAACACATTTTTAATAATTTTAAAACGGTTTGGTTACATTTTCGTGTGGTTTGTACTTCTTTTTAAAGCTTTCTGAATATATACCAATCTATTAGGTAGGTAATTAAAATTTCTATAGATCTCTTTGAACCTAATTCAATGTCTGGTTATCTTTAAGTGGTTCCTCGATAATGCGAGAAGTTTCTTAAAAACTTTTAACAAGTTAAATTGGAAGTAGCGACTTAGTTAGATTATATTTTAGTTATTGATTTATAAAAGAATCTGCGCAATGAGACTTTAAACGTTTGAAGTCGACTGCTCTAAGCGCGACGTTGTCGGATCTTGCAAA